AGGTTCGCGTGGATAATCTCCACTACGATATTACCGAAACCGATCTCGATGTACGTTTCAATTAGCCCATACTCAACGCCCATACAAGAAGAACGCCCCTAACAAGCCTCTTCGGTGAACAGGATCTCTTCGGTCGAATTGGACCTGTTTCTGAACTTACTGTCTCGTATGACCGCGCTGGACGCTCCGAGGGAGTTGCTCACATCACATACGCCCGCTTGAAGGATGCACACACCTCCATTCAGGAGTATGACGGAGCCAACGCGAAGGGCCAGCCCATCCGTCTTTCTCTCATCCCCGGCCGCCGTGACCGCAACCCCCTCGACTCCGCACAGCGCCCTAGACCTAGTCTTATGGACCGCGTCGAACGCCCCCGCGATGACCGCAGCATGAGCCCCGAGGACAACGCCGATGGCCGACGCCGCCGTGGCGGTGGCGGCCGCGCTCATCGCAGCGATGTTACCAAGCCTGCCCCAGACAACATCGACCGTTATGTCCCTGGACAACGCTCCCACCAGCGCTCTCCCAACCGCCGCGGCGGAGGTAGACGTGGTGGACGCGACAACCGTTCCCAGCAGACTGATGGATCCAGCCGCCGATCCAATGCCCGTCCGCGCAAGACTCAGGAGGAGTTGGACCAGGAGATGGAAGATTACTGGGGTGGTGCAAACAACGGCGGCAGTGAAGCGGCTGCACCCGCTCAGGACAACCTCCATCAGACTGCTCCCGCCCCTAGCGCACCCGCTGCCGACGATGATATCGATATGATTGAGTAAATACTACTTCATGGTCACTCGAACTTCGGGGAACTCGGTTGTCTTTCGCATTTCAGATCTTTTGGGCCTCCGTGGCATTGCTTTCGGTATTTTCTATGAATGAAGATCCACTCGGCCTTTTTCCACTCCTCTCTTTTCTCTTTCTATCGCCGAGGCTTTTCAGCACGAGGGCTGAAACTCTGTACTTTACCTCAACCACCAAATTGTAACTGGATCCATATCACAAATTCGGCTTTTCACTGCTTCGATGCATCTTTTCCCTTGCTGGGCTCTTATCCTTACCCTTGTTCTCATTGCATATCCACACCGGGGAAATAAGAGCCCATGATTTATCTAAAAGGGAGGTATTTTCTTCTTATTGTGTTGTTCGGTGCCTTTCTTGATTTTTTTCTATCGGGGGTCAAACAGATGCGCACATGCCACAATGCCTGCATACAAAGAACGAGAGGCTGCTTGCAACCAACGGACGACGGCAATATACAAATCGATAGAACATAAACCCAATGGAAGCCGCCAATTATAAATAGAACAAGGATTGCAAATGAAAATGGAAGAAGAAATGAAATTCTTCCGTGATTTCTTCTGTACACTGTAACAATTATGAAAGTGTCAAGTTCATCTCCACAGCCCGTAGGGTTCCCGGCATGCTTTCCACAACTTGATAGTACCATCCTCGCTACCAGTCCCGTAGAGCTTGCCATCGGGGGAGAAGCTGACGGACCAGATAGGGCCATGGTGACCCTTTTGAACCTCTGCAGAAGAAAGTTAGCTTGACTTCACCGCCAAAAAGACACACGACCAGAAGTAGCAAAACATACCCAGCTCCTCATCCGTGTTCAAGTCATAAACTCTTGCCCAGGTATCATTCGCACTGCCCGTAACCAGACGACCAGACTCGCTATTAACCGCAGCACTAGCAACATCATAGTCATAATCAGCCTTCTTAAGCAACCGACCAGGCTGCACGCCATCAAAGAGATAAACACTCTTCCCCGCAGCGACAGTCAAAATCCCCGCATCATTAGGTCTCGTCGCCAGACTATTCAGCTCACAGGAGCCAATGGCACCATCAACGCCGTACTCAACGATCGGGTGGCGCGACCGCAGATCCCACCAGCGGATTTTGCGGTCCTCCGCCGCCGTAGTGACGACATTGTAATCCTGATTCCAGACGATAGACTTGATCGTGCCGCCGTGCACGCCGGCGCCGATCTCATAGCTCGCCACTCCATTCCCAGTAGCAGGAGTGGCTGAGGACGGGATAGGCGGCGTTGATGCCGTGCTGGAACTACCGCCCCGTGTTAGATCGAAGATTCGTAGCTTCTTCTCCGCGCCGCCTGTCGCGAGCACTTGCGGGTTCGCTTGGATTGGGAATGCTACTGCCCGCACGATGTGTGCGTGTTGCAGTGTGTGCAGGCATTCGCCTGTGTAAGTGTCCCAGACCTTACTGTTTTCGGGTGTCGAAATTAGTATATCATGGTGCGAGATTGGTTTGGGGGATTTTGCTTACGCTGAGAAATCGGCGGCTGCTGTTGCTGAGATGGCGGCATCGGCCGAGAGCCTTGCTTGCCATACGGCTCCTTTGTGGCCAAGGAATGTTCCAATCCTGGGGGTTTGATGTTAGTGGGTGGTTTCTGGACTTGGTTTCATTTGTCGTACCAGTCTCCCGTTATGCCATCGCGGAGCATGGGGTTATTATCTTTAGTTGGTTAGTGGCTATGCGATAAGTGGTGAGTATCATTGGTCTTTCTTACCTTTGCATGAAGAGATGAAGTAATATTGCTCATCTTCGACTGTGGAAGAGAAGCTCAGATGCGTCACCGGACGAGAATGTCCGTGGCAAGTCAGAGGGACTACCTTGGGGATATCTTGTAGAGTATATCAGTAAATATATCAGGATAGCAATTTCCGATTGAAAGCAACATAGATCACTCACCGGTAGTCATTTCGTTGGTGGTTGAGGGAAGTTCCCGAGGTTTCAGTGGTTTTGATGTTAGATTAAAGAGCCAATCAGATCAGCGAAAAGCTATGGATGTGCGCAACCGAGAGCACACGACTTGATATCAAGATCCAAATCCAGGAACCAGACCGAGGGAGAGTTCAATATGTCTAAGGAAGGTACATAAGAGATTCGTCAGGGTCGTCAAGTCATCAAACAGATATGTGGGGTTCGAGGAAGAGCTGAGAACAAAGGATGGAAGAAAGTGGATTGAACAGAAATTTTTCCAAACAGACACCCCAAAAGGAGAGAAGACCTCTGGGAATATGAAACTCCTTTGGTGTGTAGATGGGATATTGAATTTCAATTTCAAACAATAACGGGCAGCCCTGGAGCGGATCGCTGATTAAGTAAGGCATGCACTAGTCTGATTCGGGTATAATTAGGACACGTGAGGCTCTTATGTCGTATACGGCCACCCGACACATAACTTGATTGGTTCATATTGCCAGGCAATAATTTAGATCTCTCACTTCACAAGTACCATGTTGAATCTATAGTTACTTTATATAGTATTTTTATAAATGAATACTGTTGAGCAACCTGTTACTATGTGGGGAGAAAGCAGAGGAAGAATTATTAATTGATTAAACTAGAAATGTAGGGGGTTATATACCCTGCTACAACCATCTAAACTCTGCTCAATTATAGTAAACAAGCTAACAAATAGTAAATAACGAACAAATAGGGCTTAGTCTATAGCAAACATATATATATATATATATATTTAGGAGATTGTTTAACAAATACGATATTAATTTTTTAACACCGGACTCTTTATACTCCTAAGTGTTAAGTCTTGACTCTTGATTTCTTACTATCTTGCTATCTTACTAACTGAATCTGAACTGAATCTGAACTAAATCTGAACTGAATCTGAACTGAATCTGAACTGAATCTGAATTGAATTGAATCTATAAAGTGTATAGTATAGAAATAGTAAATGCTTCCAGAAGGCAGTAATGAACTAGGCGGTGAGGTAATAACCAATGAGAGAGTTATGTGTCGGATGGCATACTTAGTCGCCCGTCTTGCTGCAGGTGATATACCATCACGGCAAAACCATCAAGAGACGCATCTAGGTCATAGTATGTGTACCTAGCAGCGTCGTGATGCGTGCAGACGCTCCCTGAAGAAATGACCTCTTTTAGGTCTAGGAACGCTTTCATTTCGGTGTCGGATAGAATGAACGTGGTCTTTGCCGAGAAAGATCGCCGCTTCTGCCCCTGTATCGGTGCGTTCTTCAACAACTGTCTCTTCTTTTCCGTCAAGGGGGCAGCTATCTGTGCGTATCTGCTAATCTTGTCTCGCAGATAGCCTGTCGCACCAAGAAAATGTTCCAGATGAATCAAGTTAGTTGGCGCCTTGATGCGTCGAATGGCGTCCACCCTATCCTGTAGCGTTGCGAGGCCGAACCCATCCACATGCTGACCTAAAAGACGAACGTCGGGAAATCCCACAAATGACCACTATGTTTTACCAAGTTTCTTCTTAAGCATCTAGTATCGACCTAGGCAAGGCTTACAGGTTGCAATCTTTGAATGATTTGATTGAAATATCAATATGAATCCCCCCACCGCCCCCACACCAAGGCCAGCCCACGCTTTTGCTCGAACCCTCACTCGATCCGAGCGGGCTATCGTGTTTATGTGGCTTTTGTATGGAGTTGCCATACAAAAGATACTTAATTTGGAAATTGTTATCCGCTGAAGATTTGTAATCGGGTGTGGCCCACCTACACCAGGTGGTGGTGGGCCGTGCCGCGATTAACAAATTGTTATAGACACCTGATAGATCAGGCATGATTATTAGGCCGTCACCATCTCTGCAGATCTTTAGCAATTAAACTTTCTTCTCTCTCTCTCTCTCTCTATATTACGAATGCAACGAATAAAAGCAAATACAACCTACGATCAGCCAAAGCCATAAGAGATCTCATGAGAGTACAGCTACTGCAAAGCTAGCAATTGAGGCCCATCTAGTCCAAGGCCTCAAAGCTCAAAATCAGACAAGAAGAACTCGTCGCCATTCCTAGCAAAAGAAAAGAACCTCTAGCCGTCACTAGCAAGCCCACCGAACTACCTAGGCAAAGATCCCCAAGCCAAGCCGGAACACCAGGACAAAGCTGTAGGAACTTCCAACCACTGCTCCCGCGACACCTGATACTACGAAGAGCCCAGTCCTCATCAACGTCAACATCGACGCAACACACAGTCACTTCAAAGATGACTGACGACAACAAAAGCCAGCCAGCTGGCCTAACTCAGCAACAACTTAACGTCATGGCAGCTATGATCGAGCAAACCGTCGCACGTGCCATAGCAAGGAATGGGACAAACGGCACAACCGGCACAACCGGCACAACCGGCCCAGCGGGACCACCTGGACCCCCAGGACCCCCAGGACCCCCTGGCCCAGGCAGACAGCTTGCTACCGCCGATACATCCTGGAAGATGGAACATATAGGCTGTTTTGACCCCGACGATGAAGCGTCGACAAGCGTCAAAACAGTCAACAGCGTCAACCATTACTCCAACGTTTTTAGCTGGGTTGATCATATGAAGGACATCGCAAAGCTGAAATCTGAAGACGTCGTTCGCTCCCACATGAGCTACTCGCTTAAAAATAAAGCCACGGACTGGTACGACGCCGAGCTAACAAGCGTAGAGAAAGAAGCACTACGGATTTTACCCCTTGAAGAAGGATGGTACAAGCAGCTCATAGAGCGATGGAAGCCAAATCGAGCTGACGCTCTCCGCAAAATGGACACAACCACATACACATGGGCCAACGTCCGCGCAGGAAAAAATCCACGCGAGTATGCCCAGGAAATGATACGCCACGCCCGAGCAGCCGGTAGAAACGACCTCTACGAACAGCTTCTAAAGATCAGGGAAAACTTCGAGCCCTCGCTCAGAAGGATGGTAATAAACCCAGTTACTACGACCAAGCTCAGCGACTTCCTAGAACACCTAGACAGAAAGTACGGAGATTGGCGAGACCAGGTACACCAAAGGGACCAACGAATTGTCAGACATATGCCCCTCCCAGCCAACCGGATCCCCACCCCCCGTCCCCCTAGGATCCAAGGCCAACAAGCCCAACAAACACAATCCCAATCAATACTGGACCTCACACCGTTTCACAGCTAACCGCAACCAGTTTGGCCGTAACAACCCAGGGCCCCAACGTACCAGGGTTGATTGCCTTCGATGTAGGTGTGGAGCTGGTAGGCTAGTCGGATTGCAGCCTGTTGTCGCTTCTCCATCAAGCTACTGCTAACTGGTTGATGGAGAAGCGGTTGATGGAGGAGGTGGAGTTGAAACTGGCCCTCCAAGCTCTGGGGGTTTCACTTGATGAAAATTTGTTTTGTTTTGTTTATTTCTAGTTCAGGGGGCCCACTGAGATGGCAACTAAGGCATGCTACCAAATTTGGTACGTGCTACGTGATGGAAGAAGATGACGACATTCAACTACCTGAGGCTGAGCTAATAGAGGGGCCTACAACAATATTCAGATCATTGAGGTTTTACTTGGAGAGTATATCATTAGACACCAAGTAGTCTTGTGGTATAGAACAACACTAGTCCTACCTGGGAAGTAGTCAGTGCCGTGACTCCACTTTTCTCTTCATTTTCCTCCAACCAGATAACGATCCCAAGTATATTGTTGCTAGTTATCATCTTTCAATCATTTGCTCTTTCGTCCGTTCTATATCACTAAAGTGATAGTCAATAAAGGCTGGTAAGGTCCCTTACTTGCAGTAACTTGTACCGGAACAAACTGCACGCGAATATTGGGCGCGATATAAAGCAGCTAGGATACCGCGCGTTGACCGAAAATATTTCAAGGATATAATGTTAACTTTGAATCTTTAGACCTTGGATCGAGATATCCCATACCATTCTGCTCAATGTGAACAAGACCACCGCCAAAGGACAAGAATAAGAGTAGACCCAATTGGAACTATTCTGTAGAAAAATGCGAGTCGATAAGTGACGAGAAGCAATGATGACTAGTGAGGGCCACGAAGCTAGAATAGACACCGAGGCTTGAGCGATTGGATAATATTATTTCGTCCAACGCCCACAGCCCATATCTTCTGGGGTGATACTTTATTTTCTCTTCATCCTATCTCGAACAACGAGGATAAGAGAGACATATATGGAAGTTACTTTCCACTGGTTGTCTGCTCCTGGGACTATGAAGAGTAACGCTTTTGGCCCTCTCCCGATGCTGACCCCAAAATCCTCGTCCTGGTAGAATGAGATCTGGAAGTCATAGTCTTCAGTCGGGCAAGCTTGGAGATTTGGCCAATAATAAGGGTATCCTATTTCCCAGGACCAACAAATCCAGCAGAAGCCAGGGAACAAGTTCAACTTCTCATCGTCCTTCTGTTGCAATTGTATTGTGATTAGGTTCGTGAATTTTAGAAAACGTGATGTGATTTGGACTACGCTTGATCCTGAGCGCGAGCCTTGGCATAGAGTCGATACATATACAACATATAGCTCCATGTCACGGCATAGTTCACCCCAGCTTTGAAAGTCTTCAGCTGGAGTAAGAGATAACTACTCACTATATTGAGAGCTCACTAGTATACTAGATGAGTCATTTGAGGACCACCTGGGCGCTTGAGCATGTACCAGAGATCCATAGGGCTAGAAGATCCAATTAAAATCTCTGTACCTTTGCATTTGATAAGACCTCGGCGTGTTCTAGCAGGTTCCCCAAATGGCGTTACCGCCCACGTGATATGACCAATTGATGCTTCGGCGGGGCGATCCCCCGGAACGACTAAAGGACAACAACATCCAGGGGAGCTTGATTGATCATTAATTCCGCAGTGATACCCTCGAAATATTTCTTCTTCGGATTCTTCTTTCTTCACTATTTCACCCCCCAAAGTTTTATGTATGCCTGACTTCAAGCTCTCTGCAACTTTGGAGGGCCACGGCGATGATGTAAGGCTCCTGGTCCCGGCGTCTGTACCGACGCCATTGACACCGCACCTTCAACCCACACAGACTACTCACACTGTTTTGACTTTTGATTTAGGTCCGCGCTGTGGTCTTCCCGAATCCCAATGTCGTCCTTTCCGCCTCTCGTGATGCAACAGTTCGGCTCTGGAAGCTTATCTCCACTCCACCTCCCGCATATGACTATACTGTCGCTGCACATGGCGGCGCCTTCATCAACAGCTTAGCATACGTTCCTCCCACATCTGAGTTCCCCGAAGGGCTTGTACTTTCGGCTGGACAAGACGCAATAATTGAAGCCAGGCAGCCTGGTAAGGGTGCAGAGGATAATGCGGATGCTATGCTTCTGGGTCACGGCCACAATGTCTGTGCTCTAGATGTGTCTCCGGATGGCAAATGGGTCGTCAGTGGCAGCTGGGATTCCACCGCCCGGTTGTGGAGGGTCGGTAAATGGGAGTGTGATGTCGTACTGGAGGGACACGAGGCAAGCGTCTGGGCCGTGCTAGCCTATGATGAGAACACTATCATCACGGGTATGCTAGTTTTGTGCAACGCCAAAAAGTCTTACATGCTAACTTCATCACAGGCTGTGCTGACAAAATGATTCGGATATTCAATACCTCGGGAACCCTACTTGGAAGCGTACAAAACTCAAACGACGTGGTCCGGGCCTTGTGCAAGCTTCCCGCCTCAAACTCTACAGGTGCCCACTTTGCATCGGCTAGCAACGATGGAATCATTCGTCTTTACACATTGCAAGGTCAACCCGTCGCCTCTCTCCATGGTCATGAAAGCTTTATTTACTCACTTGCTGCGCTCCCATCTGGCGAGCTGGTGAGTTCGAGTGAAGATCGCACCGTGAAGATTTGGAACGGGACCCAATGTGTGCAGACAATTACCCATCCCGCAATCTCAGTGTGGAGTGTCGCAGCTTGCAGTGAGACCGGTGATATCGTTACCGGTGCTAGTGACCGCATTGCTCGTGTTTTTAGCAGAAGCCCTGATCGCCATGCAGCCCCAGAGGCCATACAGCTGTTCGACCAGGCCGTAAAGGAGTCAGCTATTCCAGAGCAACAAGTTGGGAAGATTAATAAAGAGGAGCTACCTGGTCCGGAATTCCTCAAAGAAAAGTCTGGAACCAAGGAAGGCCAGGTCCAGATGATCCGAGAGCCAGGTGGTACCGTGAGCGCCCACACCTGGTCGTCGGCAACACAGGAATGGATTGCTATTGGTATGGTAGTGGACTCGGCTGGGAGCAGTGGTCGGAAGACCGAGTACCATGGTCAGGATTACGACTACGTCTTCGATGTTGACATAGAGGATGGCAAACCCCCGCTGAAATTACCATACAATGTCACGCAGAATCCATATGAGGCTGCCACCAAGTTCATTGGAGACAATGAACTCCCTATGACCTATCTGGACCAGGTTGCCAACTTTATCACTCAGAATACCCAGGGTGCCACCATTGGGCAGTCTCAAGAACCCGAAGGTGCTGATCCTTGGGGCTCAGACCGCCGTTATCGTCCTGGAGATGCCTCGGCGGCTGAAGAGTCCCAACCACCTGCTCCCGAACCACGCCCCAAGGTACTCCCTCAGAAGATCTACCTCTCCATCCGCTCAGCAAACCTGAAAGTTATCACGAAGAAACTTCAGGAATTAAACACGAAACTCGTGTCTGATGGATCAAAAGACGTGGCATTGAGCCCCTCAGAGGTGGAAACGGTTGTCGCCTTGTGCGGCCAGCTCGAATCTTCCCAACAGCTTCAAGCATCACCCGAGGTTGAGACCGGAGTGCCGTTGATTTTGAAAATTGTCACAACCTGGCCTGCTGCCAATCGACTCCCTGGCCTAGATATTCTCCGTCTACTAGCGGCTGCTGCGCCATTTACAGCATCAGCCGAGTACAAAGACGAAAATGTCGTATCGGGTGTGATATCCAGCGGTGTTTTTGAATCCCCTCTTAATGTCAACAATGCAATGCTCGCAATGCGAACATTTGCTAACCTATTTGAGACGACTGCCGGTCGAGATCTGGCCATAAGCTCATTTGATCAGATCCTGGGAGGAGTGAAGTCCGCCTTGGCCAGTAGCGGGGAGTCACCAAACCGCAACCTTACAATCGCGATCACGACACTCTACATTAACTTTGCAGTTTATCTCACCTCCGAAGGTAGGAACCAATCTCCAGAAGCCGCAGAACGGGGTCTGATCCTCCTGGAGGAACTGACTCGGATCATCGCTGGAGAGAACGATTCAGAAGCGGTTTACCGAGCACTAGTCGCGCTCGGCACACTAGTCACAGCGCTCGGGGAGGAGGTCAAGAGCGCTGCCAAGGAGGTCTACGAGGTTGAAGGTGTTCTCGCGAGAGCCGAGAACTCTGGTCCTGGAAAGGAGCCGCGCATCAAAGGCATTATTAGGGAGATCCGGGAGGCTCTCTGAAACTGCGTGCTATTTTTATTCGGTGTGCATCTATCAGAGATGCATTGCTTTCTAACGACGACAACGCGATTCCCATACAAAGACTAGTCATTACCTTCTCTTCCACTCGATAGTATATAAATCGTAAAATGTTCTCATCATTGAATCCACTAGCGTTCTCAACAACCCATCTACTCACTCCCTTATAATCTCCCCTCCGCATCAACCCCAATCTCCAAAACCTGCTCAACACCCTGATACTTGGGTAGATCAAGCCCATACTTATCAGTAATGTTCTTCGTCAAAAACCTACCACCGATAAAATGCCTGCCGCGATAAAACGCCACACATGGCTTAGGGGCAGATAGACTGATCAGTGCATGCGGCATGAAATTCGCACCAGGTCCTTCTTTCGGCGGTCCGCTCTGGATATCCCATGAGCTAGGCGCGTCAACACTCAGCACCTGGACGTTAGCGGACTCGATTTGCGAGATGATTTCGGGGAAAGGATCGCGCAATGGTCCACCGAAGGAGAAGCCGAAGATGGCATCAACCAGGAAGTCTGTTGTCTTTAGGGCTGGTTGAAAGTCGTCTATGAAGGGGACTGAGAGGTTTTGGAGTTGGGTTTTGAGGCGCTGCGTCGGGTTAGATTTGGTTCTTGCTTCTTGCTTCTAGAGTTATTTTCGTGCTCGGGGGTTGCATACTTGGTAGAGCTCGTTTTTGCCCTGTTTTGGGTAGTACACTGATGGTGTGTAGCCAAAGTGGGCTAGGTGTCGAGCGGCTACGAGGCCATCTCCTCCTAGTCATTTGTTAGATTGTTGTTGCTCGGAATGGCAATATTAAACCCTTCTCACCATTATTGCCTGGCCCACAGACAACTAGGATATTCTTCCCTGCGCTTGGGGTATGGATTTTCCATACTGATTGCTCATTACATCAGTATGGCCTGATTGCATGTGCAAGATCGATGGAGTTTACCTGCTTGCGCGACAGAGAGGCCCGCTAGCTCCATCAATTGGTCTAGGGACCAGCCACCGGTTTCCATGAGATCCGTATCAAGCGAGGCCGCATCTTTGGCTGAGATTGCCTAAGACGGTTCTCAGTTTATATGTTATTGGGACTAATATCAGACAACTATACCTTCAACGACATTATGGCTGATTTACTGTAGCGACGAATGGAGAGAGGTAGACGAAAATTGGTGAAGGTAGAACGGATCATGCAAGTATGCTGATTTCAAAACTAGACTGTTAGTAAATCGAGTTAATTGACAGAAGCTGTGTAAATCAAAGTGATAGTCAGCTCCGAAGTAGATCTCATGAGGGTCCTCACATCATTACATCATATATACGCTAGTCCGTATTTGGTTACGTCGGATCAATAATTCTTCCGCGTCTCCTAGAACTTTTGCGGAGGGCAGACGGCATCATCAAAAGAACAGTCTTGCGCCCTCTTCAATTGAAAAAGCATTACACACCCGCCAAAATGGTTCTCCGGATTCGACTAGCTCGCTTTGGCAACAAGCACAACCCCTTCTTCAACATCGTCGTTGCGCAAGCCCGGTATGTGGTTATTCCCCCGTGAATGGATACACCCGGCTCCAATGCCAAACACCAAAGTTGCCAGGCTACGGAGTGCTTCAATCCATTGCGCACTGTATATTTCAGAAGAATTGAAAATTGACCTTACTATTTCTAGCTCTGCCCGCGGTGCTAAGCCCCTCGAAGTCATCGGCACCTACAACCCTATCCCCAAACGTCCCACGACCTTGTACGACGAGAATGCCGAGGCGCGCCCATATAAGGAGATTGCCCTTGATCGATCGCGCGCAAAGTACTGGCTCGGTGTTGGTGCGCAGCCTAGTGATCCCGTCTGGAAACTGATGGGCATGGTAAGCCGGACCCTTGTTTTCTTTATCCGTGAGAGTTTGGGGAATTGGAGGATCCAAGGAAGATGGACGGCTATTGTCGGGTCTGCGCTTTTAGCAGATCATATGGGCTGATGATTACGTTGTTATTATACGGACTGCTTTTACTAACTCTTGAACCTCTTTCTAGGCTGGCCTTGTTGCGTCCAAACCTACTACTTTTGACAAAGCTTGATTCCGCTCTGACTCCTTGACTGTTTGACGCCGTTTGGCATGTGGCATGCTTGACCTCTACAAAGCGTTCCAATGTTCTCTCCTCCGACATTCTTTGTGTACTCGGCCGGACAACGCCCGAGAACCTTGGAAAAGTCAAGACATGGCACCATCGATGACTGGTCTACTGTGTACCTTTTTCTCCCCCCTGATTTTGCTGGCATTTTTTGGCGTTATTGAGTTGCCTTGTAGGAACCTTTGTATATTATGTGGCAGCTTAGCTGCTCTGACTCTACGCGGTAGACGAGCCGCAGCATGAATATCTACTGACACGATTTGGATTTGTCTCTTTAAGGCGAAGAACACCAGGCACATAGTCCGTACCGAGGTAGGCTATGCGTTACCAGCATACTTTCTCCTAAACTGCTCAGATCTGCCTACACTGTAGGGTCGTGAGGTATATAGATACTACTATAACCACTTTCAAGGTTACACACAGACTTAAAGTCATCGAAAGATACCTTGGAAACCGATCGTATTTGTCAGTAATGAAAGTCAAAACATTTGACGCGCCCATGACCAGTTCAGGCACACGTTCTAATGTAGTGCTAATAAAGCCCCTAAGCAGTAGCTTGTCTCCACGGCCCAACCAAATGAACCAACGCCCCCTCGATAAGTCGAGTCATTTCCCCGTGGCAGCCAATCCCATGTGTTACCGGGGTTGGGCTCGTGGCAATTGGTCAGTGACCCTGGAGGATCGCCAGTTTTTGACTTTGGGGATTCCTTGGACGTATGCGATGACCTTGGATTAGTTAGAAAACAGGTTCCAAGGTTAGCTCGGAGGATCGTATAATATGACTTGGAATATGACCTCAGGTGTATTTGATATTAAGCCATTGACTCACGATCTGGGCTAGTTAACGGTAGTTGTAAATGCATTCAAGGTTCATCCAATAAACTGTCAGCCTATGAGGTATTGTATGGATTTGGTACTGGCCTTAGGGTTCTATGTATCCTATGTACATACGTTACTCTACCGAGTCTATATGTAGTAAAACATCCCTGTGAGATATATGTGCTTCATTTCATAGAGCCCCAATCGCGTGCAGAACCGGGGTACGGCAAGCCGCATGGGCACTTACTTGCATGGCCGGTGCTTTTCCAGAAGAAACAGATTCATGATCCACCCGTCGATCTTCTAATATATATATGTTGTATATGTACAGAATATACGGAGTTATACAGAGAACAGAAAGAAAAAGAAAAAAAACCGGGGGCATTCCATAATCACCACATATCACCTCGGGGCACGCACTTGGTAACTCTCTGCATGCGGTCAGTTTCCAGGGTCAAGGTGTAAGACCTGTGTAAAATTATGTAAAGTGATGACCATGTACTGTCATATACTTTGAAGTACATCTCCCAATACGAGTACCCACATACAACCCCATGTACCTCCACTGTCACATACCTGTTCCCCAGTGAGTCGCGTCGTGAAGGGCAGATCCATGGATCTGGCACTTGTGGACTGGCACTCGACCGTTCCGGACTCTTTTCTTCCCCCCCTCCCCTGCACTCTCCTTCATCCCCTCCTTTCAACCCTTTTTCCCTTTTACATCCATCTTACCATTCTTGTCAATTTCCCATCCTTATCTCAATCGTTTTCAAAGCGCTCATAGTCCAACTGTCGCAAATCCGATGAGACACCATCCGAGTACACTCGACTTTCGATCGAATCGCTAATCGCCTTCGCCTTTGCCTTTTCATTTCTATCGTTGCATCGCGTTTGGTGTACGATCTCTTGTCGCATTACCGATCAAGGCCCAGAACCTCGACTTTCCGAATCCCGCGACTCCTTTTTTTCCTACCTGGACTATCTTCCCCTGTGTGATCGCGAACCCTCGAAAGGCGAAAAAAAAAAAATTCGAAAAATTCATATCTCGTGGAGGGATGAGCGGAAGCTCTAGCCAGTCAACTCGTACGAGTCCCGGCTCTTTTGGAACTACACAACTCACAGAGTCCGTGTCATCTGGTTCGCCCCCACAACAGTCATTCCCTTCTTCGCAGGCGCCTTTGACGGCTCAGCATGCGATGTCGACCGACGTGTATAGCCCGAATGCGTCGCAAGCGCCTTCATCTATGAACCCGTCTTTCTCATACCCATTTTCCCCTATCGGTACAACAGCTTCATTCGATAACAACATGCGCTTAGGCGATAACGATCGCAACCTCCAGGGCCTGAATGGCCTGAATCGCGGAAACGGAGGCGCGATTCTCATGCGCAAACTACCGCGAAACACGAGCCGTGAAGCCCTGCGTAGCATGCTTCTTTTTGCAAAAGACTTTGTTGACGCGGACTTTGTGACCTTGGACCTGCCGGAGGATGACGGGTTCTTGACCGCGATCGCGCGATTCATCTCTTTGCCAGCCGCCGAAGAGGCCAGGTCCCTCCTAGATGGCAAGCCGAACTCCAAAAACGACGCCAACATGGTTGTCGAGATGTACCCCGGTCCGATGGGAGTGAATCTATCAAACACGCGCCGTAACACCATCGATCACACCGCGAGTCGTGCATTGATGGGTGCCTCAAACGGACCCCTTGCGCGTCAATCGTCGCGCTTCAACGGCACTTTCCAAAGCTTAGAGAGGCTCTCCAACGCCAATCCCAATCAGCCTATCGGAGAAGGACTTCCTCCGACTTCTGAATCAGGCTCTCGCATGCACAGCCTTTTCTCACCACAATCTCCGATCGGAAATGGCATTGATAACCTCCCACGCATAACCGGGAAGTCCATGATTGATGAAGACCCCGACGAGGAGACGGGCGAACTGCTCAAGGATCCGGTGGGCTATGCAGAGAATGGCCATTCTACCAACATCTCTGCCGGACGCCGGGCCACCAACCCTCAAATCCCGACCAACCGCTTTGCGAACATGTCCCTTTCGGCCAACCTGCCCTCGCCACCTTTGCAGAACTACCCTGGGGGTGGCGCGCAGCGTGGAGCGCCTGCGTCCGCATACCCGAACCAAGGCCATAGTTTCCCATACAACGCTCAGCACACACCACGCCACAGCCTCCCCGCTGCGAACCCGAATGACCTGAATCCTCCTTGCAACACTTTGTACGTGGGCAACTTGCCACCCGACACTTCCGAGGAGGAACTCAAAGCCCTTTTCTCTAAACAACGCGGATATAAGCGACTCTGTTTCCGAAACAAGCAGAATGGACCTATGTGCTTTGTTGAATTCGACGAGGTCGCCATGGCCAGCAAAGCGCTCAATGAATTGTACGGCTACAAGCTGTCGAACAGTGTCAAGACTGGCATCCGTCTAAGCTTCTCAAAGAATCCTTTGGGTGTGCGCTCTGGTCAACCCGGCAGCATGAACTCATCCAACTCGGCCTCTGGGCAGGGCGCAGTCCCTGGAGGCAGCAGCTTGAGTGGAATCCACAATAATATGTTCTCGGCTGTCAACGGTCCCCCTCCTGGACTGGTAGCACCTCCTGGTCTTGGCATGCCCATGCCTGCGCCGCCGATGCGCAATGGGACCTCCATGCACACCCCCATCAATCCGCATGCTGGGCTGATGGGCAATGCCTCATACAACCAGAACTCGGGCCTGGGAATCCGAAACGGAGCCAATCCAATGATGTCGCCGCCGCCCCCTTCTAATCCCGGCGGCAACACCAATGCGGCACCAAACCTGAACGGCTATAATTCCTTTTACCCTGACTACATGATGGGTCGCTAAGCCCATCCAAGCGTTATATTAAGATAATGCCCGGCATGTTTGAACGAACTGGGATATCTGGCGCATTTGGGGATCTTCGTTTCGTGAGCTAGATCAGCATTCGGCGGCTGCATACACTCTCGGGAGTACTGTTTCGGATTTGCTTTTCTGTTTTTTTGCCCCCTTCTTTTTTTTTTTGCCAGTCCTTGTCTTGGCTTTTCGTCTTTCTGTTGCATGGGAACCCGGGCGCTCTTACATTCCTTTTTTGTTATCTTTTTTCATTGGGAGGATTGCATTTCAGGTCATTGCCAAACTTGTATTCTTATCTGGTCGGTGCGAGGCGCTCGAGAGCGCGTTTGTTTCTGTCGCCCATTGCGTTTTGTTCACACCTTCATACCCTCGTGCTTTCTTGCTTTTGTTCTTGATTATCTCGCTCGTTTATCCTGACTCAATAGGCAATGCACTAATGCGTGTTTGCTATCTCTTCCCCAACCAGGATCTATACGAACTATTATCTACTTTATTCTACGTGATTCCCCCTGTTTGTTACATCTATCCCCTGGATCTTTCTCGATGCATCGTCTGCGTGGATCGGAAAGGATTTTGCTGATTTACTTGCTTTCTCTATTGCAATGCGTGTTTATTTCTACGCAAGTACGAAAAAAAAAAGAAGGGTCTTATGTGGCTTTTTTTAGCTTCTCTTCTAATATCTCTCTACTCAATGGCATGCATGAGCTACGGAAGGACATGACATCGGCTCACGTCGACTACATATTGTCCCAGGCGTTCGCGTTGGGTTTATCTCTCTCCTATCATATCCCTCTCATCGCGGCGGAGACGAAGGCGTCCGGCCCATGCATTTTGCTCGAAAGCTCTTTTCTCATCTTGCTTGCATTGCCACTCGTTTGCTTTCGGTCTGGCTTACTCTGCTTTTCCAGGAGAAGAATGAGGAAACGAGGCATGTCTATTATTCTTTTACTCTTCCTCTTTACCCCGTCTTGCTTGGGGCATGATACCGATACATTTGCTTGTACTTGATACAATGAACTGTTCCAGTTATTCTGGAGAACGAACCCATTTAATTCATTTATAATAAAGTTGAGGTCTAGTAAAGAGCTAGAACGAGATTCTTTTTGCTTTCATCTGAGCGACTCTTCGTATATTTTATATTATCTATCGAACAGGTCATATAAGGGTTCTACTGTAAGGATAAATATACCGGGAAATAAATGTTGAATAGCTATTATTATGTTTATGAATCCCAATAGGCAATGGGGAGGGAGATGTTTACTTGGGCTGCATACAGTGGAGATTGGGTCACGTGATGACACTACCGAGAAGTTTCTTCCCCTGCAGACACCTACGCTTCCCGCTTCAACCCGACAACTTCCCATCCTTCAATTATTGCTGCAAAAGGGTCAATGGCAGCTGGAACTCCTTGATTCTTAATATCCAGCGTCTTACATTCGGTTTGACATTAAATTCTTCCACCCGTTCCCCCATCATATCCTTCAAGATGCCGCCCCGGATACAGAGCCGGACTGTGTCCAACACCCTTCTTCCTTACCTCACAGCTACCTCCTCTTCCTCCTCCTCACTTTCTTCTCTTCCTTCATTATCCTCTACATCATCACAATGCATCTCCCGCCAATTCTCTGCCACGGCAGCACCACGGGGACAGACCAAGCTCCGTCGGCAGATGTTCGAATGGCTTGACGGCGAAGGAGCCGTTTTCAAGCACCATCTTCCTGGACAAACCAACTATGTCACCAGCTTAAAGCAGCGAGACAGCGAGGGTCCGGAGAGTGCCCGTCCGTTCCCCAACAACCAAAGTTTCTTCAGCGAGCCTATCCTCAGTGAGGAGCTACGGAATGAGGTTTATAACCGCATCATTGAACAGAAGAAGAGTGCCCGCGTTGTTAGCACGGAACTTGGAATCGATATGAAGCGTATTGCTGCCGTCGTGAGATTGGTAGAATTGGAGAAGAGACAGCGCGCACAGGTAAGATCCCCCTTTCTGCCCATTTCCCCTCCTTTCCTTTTGGACTTTGCTTCAACCCTCCACGCATATGATGAGTCACAAAAAATCGATTAGTCTTGAAGACACCCACATGGTTAAACCTTACTTTTTGAACTGAACTTTGCTACCCTTACATTTTGGATTCCTATCAAGTTTTATTTGGTCGCGTGACATGAACTGACGAATCTCAAACCAGGGTAAACCCCTCGCACTGCCATATGCCCGGGCCGTACACGAGATGGTCCCCATTACCCCCCTCGCTGAGAAAGGCGAGCGTCAACAATTTCACGAACCCATCAACGACCTCCCCGCCCACCCTCTGACAGGCTCCCAAATCTTCTACCCAGTTCCCGAATCCCGCTCCTTCAACCGTGTCGAGGCCGGTCGCGTCTTCTCCGGCGCCCCAGCACTGGAGCAATCGGAGGCCGAAGAAATCTCACACCCCTCCGACCTCGCTGAAAAGATCATCGAGGACCCCAACTCCATCGGCTGGGTCGGCAAGGGCGCCAATGCCCGCCAGATCTTGCAGCCTGCTGATGTGCGCATTCCTCACCCTCACATGGTTGCCCTGGAGCGCGATCGCCTCGCGAACCCCAACGAGTGGCGGGCCGTCGCAGACCTCCAATCTAAGAGACTCGAGCGCCAAGATGCAATTGAGAAAGAGCGTCGTGAGCGTATCCAGGCTCGCCGTGAGAAGAAACTGACTGTTGTCTCCCCCGAGGACTCGCGCTTCGACTACCGTATCAAGGATACCATCTACACTTCAGAGACCACCGGTACTGACGGCCGTGGTTCCAAGGCTACTGGTCGTCGCTACGGTGTGCCTCACCGCGATCGCACACGTGGCGAGGTCAAGATTCCTACCCGTGTGGAGGCTTGATTTATTCCGAGATAGTCCGCGAAAGGGCTGTTTCTTTGTTCTTTTTGTTTGTGTTTTTCAGCAACTTTCTCGGCTACGGCCTTTGTAATTTTATTTGTACGCATACTCATCCATGGATGTATGAAGCCCTGGAGGAGGCTGTCGCTTATGTACCTATATATCGGATAATTTCTGACAACTTGAAATCTTTCCCTTCCCATTTCATCTCTTCTCGCTTTTCAGTTACTGGGCATTACATAATTGTCTCTCCACCTGGCCACTCCAGGGCTGGGACCCCGAGGTACACTTTGTATGTTATGTTGTATGCCCACCTACCCCCGATGTCCCCATGTAAACACTGTAAATGACAGGATATAACTTTACCACAAAAGAGGCAGGCACCTTTGGCATCTCCCAGATTAAAAAGTCTAAACCTCCTCTTCACAAAAATGAATCCCATCCTCCGCTTCGATGTGCTCCCCCTGCCACCTTAAACTTCTGATAGTTGGCGCGATTGGCGCGATTCTTATTCCAATCATCGCAGGACTAGTGATCGTTTGCATACTTATCGCATCGGCATTGGGCTTGATTGACTGGGGTCGCTCTAGCTCCAAGAGGCAAGCGATTGCCAAGGTCGATCTAATCCCAGATTTAAGTGAGAAACCAGCCTCTCGGATTATGGAAAACGTACTCCGTACCGAAACTGATATTGAGGGGAAAAGACGCCTTGAAATTGAGATCGACTTCCTCGAGGAAATGTTGCATGCTCGCAGAGACAAGCTTGCACAGGTCAGTTAACTATCGATGCCCCGGTACCCTGACTTATGGCATGCTTGTTTCTTGCCTTTAGAACACCCTGAAGGCAGTGCATATGATTGTCGAACGTTTGAGAGAGCTGAGCTCACATCCCATTCGCTCTTGTTTACAGCACTAGACGTGTCTTACTGCACGAGTCCACGACTTAGAGGGCTGGTTTGTTCAATGATTATACATTCCTAACCCCTCTAAAGATCTCGGCTTCCCCGAGAAGCCCGAGATGATGAAAGTACAACACATTCAAACAAAGCGTGGGGGTGTCCAGTGGAGAGCCCCGCAGTACGGACATTTGCCGGAGAACTACAGACCGGTAGATGGCCCATAATATCGCTATCTGGGTCTTTGGAGTCGAGCTGACCGCATCATTTCTCGGGTTTTTACCGGAGCACCAAGCAAATGCCAAGTATTAGGGGATCGTAGCTATCTTTCAGCTTGAGCAGGGTTTATGTCGCTATAGGTGAAACCTATGTATATACTGCGAATTCCGGGGCAAAATAGCCCACCAATATCTCGATTCTCGACAACGTTGATGAGACAGTGGCCTCAAGAGCGACAGAAATAATGAACTTCTCTCGCTCTGGAGTTCGATGGTTGAAATAATATACCCCAACTCCGAGTGTGGAGACCACGGCCCTGGGGAATGCCGTGGTCTCCGCACTCACCACACGGTCCACCTTGGCAAAGGGAACCGAGGGAACTGAGAGAAGTATAAAAGGGCCGTATGTGTACATGACATTGTTCACTATCCAAGGCATCAGCATGTACTTCAAGAAGCTGATCACTTCAGCTGCAGCCCTGAGTGGCTGCGTCTGGGCCCAGAGCCAGGCTGGCATCGAGGATCTCGATGGCCCCGGCAATGACCTCTACGAAAAGGACCTGTCCAAATGCCCAGGATACAAGGCAACAAAGCAATGGGAGACTCATTCTGGCTTTTACGCAGAACTTTCTCTCGCAGGGCCAGCGTGCAATGTTTTCGGAACTGACCTTCCAGACTTGAAGCTGGAGGTGGAGTATCAGACCAGCGATCGACTCCACATCAAGATCTTGGACACCAACAACACGGTTTACCAGGTTCCAGACAGTGTCTTCCCGCGCCCTGGATTTGGCCAATGGTGTTCCCCGAAGGACTCCAAGCTCAAGTTTGACTTCAACGCCGACCCCTTCTCGTTCACCGTATCTCGGACTGACACCGGTGAGGTGCTCTTTGATACCACGGGCAACAAACTGGTGTTCGAGAGTCAATATGTCTATCTCAAGACACACCTGCCACAGAACCCGCATCTGTACGGTCTGGGCGAGCACAGCGACGCGTTCATGCTGAACACCACCAACTACACTCGGACGATCTACACCCGCGATGCCTACGGGACACCTCAGGGTGAGAACCTATACGGCGCTCACCCAATCTATTTCGACCACAGGAAGGATGGCACTCACGGAGTTTTCCTACTCAATTCCAACGGTATGGATATCTTCATCGACAACAAGGGTGGTCAGTACCTCGAGTATAACATCATCGGTGGTGTTCTTGATTTTTACTTCATTGCTGGCCCGTCCCCGCGCGATGTGGCCATTCAGTACGCGGAAATAGCCCAGCTCCCGTTGATGACGCCTTATTGGGGACTTGGTTACCACCAGTGCAAATACGGCTATCAAGACGTCTACGAGGTCGCCGCTGTCACGGCTAACTACTCCTCCAACAACATTCCTCTGGAAACCATCTGGACCGATATCGATTACATGGACCGTCGGCGCATCTTCACTATTGATCCAGAGAGGTTCCCGGCCAATTTGTACAAAGACCTAGTGGACACAATCCATTCGAGGGATCAACGTTACATAGTCATGGTCGATCCCGCCGTATTCTACAAGGAGTCCAACCCGGCACTCGATGCCGGTCTTAAATATGATACTTTCATGAAGGAAACGAATGGCTCCGAATACCAGGGAGTCGTCTGGTCCGGTCCCAGCTACTTCCCTGACTGGTTCCATCCCTCATCGCAGCAGTACTGGAATGAACAATTTTTGGAGTTTTTCGACGGAACGAATGGTCCGGACATTGACGCGTTATGGATCGACATGAACGAGCCCGCCAACTTCTTCAACCGCCCCTACCCCGGCAACAACACCACTCCGGAGAATTTCGCAGAGGTGGATGGTGACCCTCCGAAGCCGCCACCAGTCCGAGATGGACCGGATGCTCCTATCCCTGGGTTCCCGGACAGTCTTCAGCCGAACTTTGCTTCCGGCAAGTCAAATGAGAAGCGTGCAGCTGCTGTTGTCCAACATCATCAACCTCGGTCTAGTTCCCACCGCAACCTTGGTGCTGGCCATTGGCGCTCCGCCAAACCTCACTGGGCTCCCTCAAGTGCCAGCTGGCAGAATGGCAAAAAGACCGGCTCTGGGTGCGGGCCTGACGAGTGCAAAGGCCTTCCAAATCGCAAGTTAATCAGGCCGCCGTTCATGATTCAGAATGGCGCAGGGCCCACGCTTGCTGATAGCACTGCCGACACGGATCTGGTGCAGAGTGGCGGATACGTTCAATATGATACCCACAACCTTTATGGCGCTATGATGTCCTCGCATTCCCACAATGCCATGCGTGCCCGCCGCCCGGATGACCGCGCTTTGGTAATTACGAGAAGCACATTTGCTGGCTCCGGCAAGGACGTATCCCACTGGCTTGGTGGTAAGAATGATTCTGGCGTCTGCCCATACAATATTAACCATGACCCCATGCTAAATACTCTGCAGATAATGTTTCCGGATGGTCGTGGTACCGCCTATCCATCAGCCAGATCCTGCAGTTTGCATCGTTGTACCAAGTCCCTGTCGTGGGCCCCGATGTTTGCGGCTTCGGTGGTAATGTAACGGAGACGCTCTGTGCTAGGTAAGGACTGAATCCCCCTTTCATATAGGCGAATAGAGCTAATATGCCATATCGAGCAACAGATGGGCAGCTCTTGGCTCCTTCTACACGTTCTTCCGCAATCACGCCGAAATCTTCGCGAATCCCCAAGAGTTCTACCGTTGGCCGACAGTCGCCGAGGCCGCGCGCAAAGGAATCTCCATCAGATACCAACTCCGTAAGTAATTCACGCAGTCCCCTCTCCGAGAGGGGAGTCAGAACTGACAAATGATCCAGTCGACTACATCTACACCTCCATCTACAAACAGAACCAGACCGGCACTCCGGCCCTCAACCCTCTGTTCTTCAACTACCCGAACGACCCCAACACCTACCCCATCGACCTACAGTTCTTCTACGGCGACGGCATCCTGGTCAGTCCCGTTACAGAGGAAAACAGCACGAGCGTCAACTACTACCTCCCGGATGATATCTTCTACGAATGGGGCACCGGCAAACCCGTCCGCGGACGCGGCGAGTACGTCTCCGCCGAAGTCGACTACACCGACATCACGGTTCACTACAAGGGCGGCATTGTCTACCCGCAGCGCATCGAGAGCGCCAACACCACCACCGCACTGCGCAAGAAGGGCTTCAACATTGTCGTTGCGCCCGGTCTTGATGGCTGCGCTGAGGGCTCGCTGTATCTTGATGACGGCCAGTCGGTTGTGCAGGATAAGGTGTCGGAGATCGACTTTAAGTACGCACACGGCAAGCTCAGCATGACTGGCTCGTTCGAGTACGAGGCTGGTGTCACTATTGAGGCTATTACTGTTCTTGGGGTGGAGCGCGAGCCGAAGGGACTCCGTGATGTCGAGTATGATGATGAGAATAAGAAGCTCGTGCTTCATGTTGATGTGCCTCTGACGGGTAAGTCTCATATTAATGTTGCGTGATCTGATCTTAGCTTGGGGTGGATGTCGCTTTCGTATTGGCGGGGGTAACCTACTATATATATATTCTTTCTTGATTAGTGGGTTCAACAGACAAGAAATCGTACAAGATCTTACAAAAGAGTCATTCTTTCGTGGTGAATATAGACTAGGAGAGTAGAAAATTGAGAGCAGCGAGAGAAATTCCTCCATATCAAACTCTTAGAATGCCATCCCAACCTAGAAGAGACCTAGAATAGCAGGTAAAAGCTACTATAGTTCCTCCAACAAATGACCCGCCTCAGCCGATGCTTTCTATAATATTTTGCTTTTGATTATAATATACAACCCACTAGTAATGGCGGTTAGTTTATATTATCAATCTCGATATTAGTGCAGCCACGGTGTATGTTATATTCATGTTCATATATTCCCAAATAAATACTTCGTTAATTCATTCTCAGACCAATCCAGAACCCCAAAAACATAAGAACACCGAGATATCAAAATCACAATGCCCAACGCCTGGCCAAAAAAAAACAAACAAACAAACAAAACCTCTCCTTCCTATCCCAATTCAATTCTTCTTATTCTCCGGGATGAATCAGCTGCTAGCTAAGTCACATAGTCGATTCTCAACGAGCCTCCCCAACAGATCGACAGCGTCGCCTCTTTGTTCCAACCCATCCAGAGATGGCATCGGTCTCAGACTCATCTTCCTTAGAGGAAGGTTGGAAAATAGATCCGATTGAGGCGAGGGCAGTTTGGAGCCATGAAGTTGTATTTTGGGGGGTTGGGCCTGTGGGCGTGTTTGATGGCTGCATGGTTGAGGTTGAGGTTGAGTGAGGGGTTGGGATGGTGAGATGCGGGGTTTGTAGTTTGTGGGTTTGTAGGTTGTGGGTTTGTAGTTTGATAAGAGCAGGTCTTATTTGTAAATGGTATATTTGTATATTTGTGCTAGGAAATAATAGTAGACAATAGACTGGTATGTCGGGGTGCAGAGTGTAAGATGGATGTAGAGGTTCGGGGGGTAAGCTTAGGATATTTAAGGGCACCAGACACAACACCACATCACATGCAGGACAATCAGAAAGCAGAAACAAAGCCCACATCTAAATTCACCTGCATAAATACCCCAAGTCTGGATTGCATATCATTTGCTACTCTCAACCCTCTTCTTGGGGTTGCTCGTAACTTCGGTCATGCTGCTTTCTCTTGATTGGTGATGTGGTTACACATTGTGTCGATCTATTGATTTGGACATGAATATCGGGCTTTCAGATATATGATTTATATGATTCTCGTATTCGATTGGCTATTGGACGAGTTCTTTGCTTTTGATAGATGCTGTATTACCTTGAATGCTCGAGAATCTGGAAAGATATGGAAATGCATACAATTTAGGCTGTAGACAGGTTATCCAAGACATTTTCTTTGTTGAGGTGTTTCATAGGAATACCTAATTAGACTTAGACACTTAGAAGCAGTCATTACATCGTATAACTTTAAGGCTTCCATCTTGAAGAACTAAGCAATTATTTTCAATACTATGGCTAGATGTATCTAGACGAAATCATCACCCATCAAATAATTAGTCAAATTATTAGTGAGATACATACAAGATAGGAGGGTACACCAAGCCCCCTAGCCGGTAGTCGAAGTAGACAAAGAAAACTATATATTGAAGGATAGAGGCATGAAGACATCCCGTTCGTGTATGAGAATGTCCCGTTGTATGGAAGTTGTATGCAAGAATGAAGATACCGACAAGAGAAACAGAATCCAGCCAGAGAAAAAAGAATTGCGCAGGCAATGCGTTTGCAGCCCAAAATAACAAATATATATATCCATATGGCCAAAAGAAGATCCAGGAAGAAAAAAAAAAACCAGGCACTGGGGTCCAAGAACCTCTGAAGTGATGTCATGACAAAGAAGTGAAAGGGTTAGACTGGAGAGAAAAGACATGTTGCTATACGGGGTATTCAATGGGCAAGACAGAAAGTCGAATCAAACAGATTGGGAAAAGATCATTCGAAGTGTGCGCGGACCAACCAAGACATGGTGACCCATCCAAAAAGAGAAACATATCCGTCTTCATTCTTCATCCGGGGGCGCAGCCGTAGCATCAGTGGCTGGCACTGCGTCTCCCGGTGTCGGAAACTGCGGACTTGAGAGCGAATCTATACTGTCAGGACTGCCGCTACCCCATGAATCTTCCCGCATGATTTGCGCGACACCGGGCAGGCTTGGCTTGGTTTCCGGGTGACCAGATTTATTAGCCGGACGGGAGCCCGACGGCGATGGGGGATCCACTTGTGATGGTTCTTTGCGGTAGCCACCTTGCATCGGACTGGCTGATGTATCGACAGCTGGCGAGGCGGGACGAGGAGAGTCCATGAACCCACGCCATTTGCGCCAGCCTTCAAAGTCAATCAAGGCTTGCATGCAGCCCCACTCTGTCACTTTCTGCTCAAGCCAAGGGAATCCAACGGGCTAGTCGAGAAATGTTAGCATAATATTTGAGAAGAAAAAAAAAGGCTCCATAAGGAGCGGGACTTACCTTGGTCAAGAAATCGTTGCAGCCAGCAGCCAGCGCCTCATGTCGGTCACTTTGTAAACTGCTAGCTGTCAACGCGACAATAATGACCGGACTCCGGAATAGCGAGAGGTCTGACAGAGTGTCCTCTTCACTGACCGTACGGTGAAGGCCCGGTCTTCTGTCCGCGGCAGAGGCATTGGACGCGCTAAAACGACCAGAGGCTGTCTTTGGGAAGACACCAATACCATTTAAGCGCTCCAGGCGCCGGATCTCCTTGGTGGCTTCCAGACCGTTCATCACGGGCAGCTGGATGTCCATCAGGACCAAATGGAATCCGCCTTGTCTCCATTTCCGCACTGCCTCTTCGCCGTTCATTGCACATTTCCAGCGCACCTTCAACCTTTTCATGAAGGCCTCCAAAAGCTTCTGGTTAATAATATTATCTTCCACAATGAGGACATTAATTGGCGGAACGGTGCCGTCGATCAACCCGCCAAACATAGCACCGGGGGAGGTGGCCGCTTTTGATTTTCGGACGCGTGGTGATGCAGCAGCTGCTGGGGGAGTGTGTGATTTCACCTGCGGAGATTCTACCGGCGGTACCGCCACCGGGGGTGTTGGAATTGCGGGAGCAGTGGGAGCTGGGATAGGTTGGGAATGAGGAGTAGCACCAGTTTCTATGGATGTCAGTGGCCATGCTGAGCAAAGTGAAGTTGTTTGAGAACGTACCTGTTATGCCGGGAGTTTGGGTGTTTTGGTTGTGAAGAATAGTGGGAGAATTTGTTTTGTGTCTCGTCAACGGAGGTCGTTGATGTCGTGTCCTACGGCTCCCCGGTGATGGCAGCAAAGGAGCAACCCCAGTGTTGAGTATGGAAATTGACGGCGCACTAGCCGCTGCGGACGCAGCTCCCGAGTGTGAAGACGGTGTGCCGGCGTTCACATTGACCGGCGGCATGAGAGGGAAGTAATCGCCATTCTCGCCGGGTTCCGAGTGGTGATGTTGATAGATCGAATGGCGTGGCGATGGCTTTGGAGTCCGATGTGACGGGGCATCAATCACCAATGCCTCCTCAACTTTTTGTCCACCAGGGTAGTATGTATCGAGTATAGATGACAGGACTTCCTCCGGGCTCAAGAGGCGTTCATCGTGACCTGGTCGATTCGTACCCTCTCGTGGCGAAACCCGGATAGCGATATCGGGCGAGTCAAAGCTTCTCCCTAATGAGTTCCCGTATTTCATGATGACTTGGTCGCGTAGCTCATCTACCACCGCATCCTCCCTGCACGGCACCAAGGTGGCCGAGCCACCAGGCCGTTTGACCCAAATCCGACGTGTGACCATTTCGCGAGGAACGAGGGGTGTGAAACTACTGTCCTGATCTCCCGGAGAGAAAAGACTTGCCTCCAATAGCCCACTGATCAAGTGTTGGTGTGTTGCTGGGAGAAGAGATTGACGACGGATCGCAAGGCTCGGGCGCTTACTTGAGGGAGGAAAGTAGGAGGTAGAAGGTCGTCGATCATTCGTAGGCTGCTCAGGAACGGTATCCAAGGTCGGAGTCAATTGAGTCTCGGCTGGGATTGGAGTTTGAGCTTTCAAGTGTGTGGAGTGGAAGGAGGTGCTATCGGAATACTGAGGAGTCGATAACGGAGGGGTTTCAAAGGGAGACGGAGGATCGCCCGAGATAGGAGTTGGCAAGGAAGAATTGTATGGCTCGGTCGACGGCGTACAATTGCGAGTTCCTGTGTGATGAGGCTGTTCGGAAGGCGCAGACACGGAGGAATCCCGTTTCTTGTTGGCTCCTGATGGGATTTCCTCTATCTGACGGTCACGAGAAGGACCGATCTCCAAATTGGAAGATACGATGCTATAAGCCGGGGATTTGTTGGAGTCGAGAGGGCCCGAGGGGGGTTTTTGGTTGAAGTGGGCACTCGGATCCGCATCCGCTTTTGGAGATAATCGTCCAAGCAACTTCGCCTTCAGACGTGATATCCGTTCTGGCATCGTGGATCTTCATATCATTTCTGAGTGAAGTTGAAAGAAAACAGATTCTTCTCTGTTGTTTTCTGTTCGGATAAGGACAATATCGTACTTTTTTCGAACTTTTCGAGCTTTCCCAACTTTCCCAACTTTCCCCTGTAAATAAATATAGCATCAAATGTTGAAAGATGATGCATCAAAAGGTTAAAGAAGTTGGGAGGAGGGGGAACTGTGATGCCTTTGGGCACAGTCACGTTAGCTGCTGATCTCCCGGCTAAAAAATCAAAGCTATGGCCTTTTTAAGGCTAATGCTGGACTTACAAGGATGGAGTTTGGAGTTCAGTATAGATATATATCTATATCTATATATATAAAACACTTAGGCATCTAAATTGTGGGGGTTGTTTTTCAGTTAGGCCAAAAAAAGTACATATATATAGAGAGAGAGAGAGAGCTAAAATACTTCAGCTCGTATATAGCACTTTTATTGCAGCACCTCTAGGGAGCTAGGTCAAAACCAAGGCAACCTGATTCATATTCAACATAAATAGTTGAGAATTGAATTCGATAACATCATTCACATATAGCTGCTATACCAAACGGCCGAAGTGACACGCCCTGAGAGCTTAGCCAGAGGCAGGGCCGATGGTTCTCAGAGTCACCGGAATATTCCTAAGAGCTGCATCTGCCGTTGCACTCCATAGCAAGATATACCATCCATCTTGTCCGGTAGGTTGGGCGTAAAAGTTGACGTTGTCCTGGCTGCACATAACATATTTCCCATATAAAGTCCACACATTGGTTTGTGGTGCCGACACGCTTGTGTTCGTCGCAACTGTGTTATTATTCGGCTGGCCGCTTGGGGAGGTAAAGATGACCGGACAAGCCATCGAGCCAGTATCGCTCAGTCCCAACAGATTGGTGCTGGAGGCTACACCCGCTGTGGTGAATACTGCAGATTCTGCAATGGTATTCGTGGTATCGGGGTGAGCAACCCAGGTGTTTCGGTTGTCGCCAAACGTCACTGTAGCTAAATCAGACACCCTCCCTTCATAGAGACTCCGAGTTCAAGACTTACAAGAAACTGGGAACTTGCTGGTTGCGTTTGACATGGCCAGATTACCGATCTGAGCTTGGCCTGTTACGCAAATAGAATTAATAGTGATCTCTTTAGGGGCGAGAGATATTTACCATCCGCATAGAAGATAGGCAACCCGTCAATATTGCTGCCATAGGCATATAAACTCCATGGACCATTGGCCTGTCGCTTCTCCATTGGATGCGCCGAGCTAACTGCAAAGGTCGCAACGACCACAGCAAAGATAATCGAAATCATGTTTTGAAACAGATGTCAAGAGGCTTTTGGTTTGATAGATATACTGCCATGTATTCAGAGTTGGACGCTTTGGAAATCGGCTTCTATATATCTCTGCCCCCCGAATGGGGGGCCTGTTATTTCCCTGAAAGCGCAGTGGGACGAACTCAGGGCTAACTTGGTAAGCTGAGCCATATATTTGAAGATGGTATTATTATGACAGAACTTCTGGCTTGGATATTTTAGGAATCCCTGATCTTGTCATCCTGTATTGCCTATCCTATATATCCTGAGACCACCTTGATTAAAAATCCCTTCCAAGGCTGACCTAGCTGAATAGACACTGCCCAGATGGGGCGCTTGGTTGCACCATACTGTCTCACGTATTGAGTCAGATCTATATCCATGCCCAAGATTGGCTCGCCATCATCCTCGGTCAATTTGTCTCTGAGTAATCATGAGCGTTATGTCCACGGGGCAAAGACTGGAATTGCCCTCATGTCACGCAACCTGGTCTCCAAGGCTTTAAACAGCCAGGATGGACATTCAGACACACGAGATCAGGGACCCTGCGTCGAGGATCTGAAAAGGAAAAGACCTGATCACGATAATGTATGGCCCACGTGAATTTGGTGCTACAGATTGGAGCGGCACACAGGGGCTTGAACTAGAAGCTAGACACCATGAAAATCGTTTGACTTCATCACACTGATTGTCAGTGAAACATATTGTCTTGCTATTCAAGCATGAATCATTGGAACATGCCCACTTACACAATCTATTTGTGACAGACACGAAGTTTGCCTCACGCTGAGACTGAGCTGGATGGCCTTAGCTCCGTCATGGATCGATGCGTAATAGCCTTCAGTATTCATATGGATCCCTGAGATATGCTCACTTGAACAATCTATTTGGGGCAAACACGAAGTTTTACTCCATGCTGAAACCAAACCAGAGGCCTTAACTCCCTCTAGGCTATTATTTCTGCTTTCGTCTGTTGGAGATGACAATATGCTAGCATTCCCTAGCAATGTACGAGGCGGAATACGACTGGATTGCCTTGGAGTCAGAATAGGCGTTCGTAAAATATCAGCTTGAGTCTCTAAGGGAGGTATATAAATCCCTTCCATGACTTGATGGAATAAGTACTAACCATCCTTCTAGAAGGCAAATACCAACAGTCTTATTTGAAGAGCTTGATAGCGAGTTATCATGAGATTTTCACCCATTATCATCTTAGCCAATTTATTTGGTGTTGGCATTGCCTACCCCAATTACTCCCACAAACCATCTACAACGCTGCGACCAATTGCCACAAGATCTCGGGTTCCAAATACTCATGGAGCTACCGGGACTCCATGTGCAGGAAATACCTCCAACGACAGATCTGTCTGGTGCGATTACAGCATCGACACAGACTATGAAAATGTCGTCCCAGACACAGGTGTTACGCGCGAATACTGGTTTGAGGTTAAAGAAGTCACAATATCTCCCGACGGATTTATGCCTCCACGTCTAGCCATGACCATCAATGGCACCTTGCCTGGCCCACCTCTTGTTGCAGACTGGGGTGATTGGGTCATCGTCCACGTAACCAACCATCTGTACCAGGCAATGAATGGTTCGAGTATTCACTGGCACGGTATTCGTCAGAACTACACAAATCCCAATGATGGTGTTCCCTCCATCACCCAATGTCCTATTGCTCCCGGCTCGACTATGACCTATAAATGGCGAGCTGGCCAGTATGGATCCTCGTGGTATCACTCTCATGTTGGTCTGCAAGCCTGGGAGGGTGTATATGGTGCTATCATTATCAATGGACCGGCAACTGCAAATTATGATGTGGACAAGGGTGCATTGTTCCTGAGTGATTGGACGCATGAAACCGTGGACCAATTGCACCAAGATGTCCAAATACGTGGCCCTGTCAAAAAGTTGTCGAATGGACTCATCAATGGCAAGAATGTCTATGGAAACGGTACAAATACTACTGGGTCTCCTTTCCACATGAAAGTAGAAAAGGGCAAATCCTACCGGTTGCGACTCGTGAACCCTTCAATCGACACGCATTGGAAGTTTACTATTGATAACCACACAATGACCGTCATTGCAATGGATCTTGTTCCTATAAAGCCATTTACCACAAACGTGATCAGCCTTGGAATGGGTTCGTTGCTCGGCCCCCATTGTCCAAACATACAAATCCAGCTAATATTCTAATAGGTCAACGGTATGACATTATCATCACAGCCAACCAAGAATCCGTAGCTGAATCCTTCTGGATGAGAGCTATACCCGCCGAGAAATGCTCACAGAACGAAATGGCCGATAATATTCGAGGCATCGTTTACTATGGCAACACGCCCAAACAACCGCGCACGCTGTCATACACCTTCACAAACGTAAACGTATGTGAAGACGAACTTTTGACGAATCTAGTTCCGCACGTCCCCAAAAACGTCGATCCACCAGTTTCGCCAGTTTGGGATAAAAACGTAACAGTGAGCAATACCAGGAACGCAGAGAATTTCTTCCGCTGGCGGTTCAACTCCACCTCTATGAACGTGAGCTGGGAGAACCCGACCCTGATGCAAGTCTACCACCACGAATTGGGCTTCTCTAATTCAAGTGGCATGATTGAGTTACCCTTCAAGGATAAATGGGTATATCTCTTCATTCAAAACACTGCCGTCACTCACCCCATCCATCTTCACGGCCACGACTTCTCCATCTTGGCACAGGGACAGCCTGGGCCTGGGACGTCACAGTGGGATGGTTCTATCATTACGGAGAACCCCCCGCGTCGAGATACGGCTGTGCTCGCTGGGAATGGGTGGCTGCTTATTGCATTCAAGACGAATAACCCCGGCGCGTGGTTGATGCACTGTCATATTGGATGGCATGTTGACGAGGGTCTGGCGTTACAGTTCATTGAGCGGCATGATGAGATTCGGGATCTCGTTGATTATACTCCGTTCAATGAGAATTGTGTTGCGTGGGATAAATATGTCAATGCGCAGAATATTGTACAGGACGACTCCGGGGTCTGAGACTGCGGGATTTATGTGCTAGATGATACTATGGAGATAATAAAGAGTGGATGTATTAGATATATATAGACTGCGGTGGTGGCAACGCCTTGTTTTTATGTGACTGTTTTGGTATTCTTTCAACATTGCATTTCCAATATCACCTCGGTTTCCACCTCAGTTTACTCTCACTGTTATAATCTCAAAATTGAAGGTCCAAGGGTGGTTAACCAAGGCCTGTAGTTGGCGGCACTGAAGATCGGATGACAACCCATATCCACCAAGCCCGTGGGGGTGGGGGCAGGTAGAGAAGTTGACAATACGTAGTAATATAATTAGTACTAAGTTGAGTAGCGGCAGTGCGCGTGGATGGAATTGTTCTGGTCGTTGGCCAAGTTGGGGAGTCCGGCGTCGACGCTGTGCCTATGTTCGCCGCTCTGTTGCATACGTGCATTGTTCGTGGTATTCTGGCTGCCAGTCGCAACCAATTTCGGGAGTTGGTTCGCTTCATTGACGAGCATGAGATTGTGCCGGCGGTCGATGATGTGGTGTTCAAGTTGGCTGAGGCAAAGAGCGCATACAGACGCCTCAAGGAAAAGAAACACCTTGCTAAAGTTTTGATCGAGATTGATTGACCTTCTAAATCGGGGTGTATCAATTCCGTTATATAGGAATATCCCTCCTTACAGTGAAAAGGTGGATAGGCCATGTTACTTCTGCTTCCCACGGTCATTCCCCTTCGGGGTACTCCGTATTCATATCCACCCCCTTCCCCACCACCCCCGCTTTGATTTGACATATCTCATGCCATAATCCGTATAGCGAGATTAAATAGGGCTATTATACACCCTAATGGGGGAGGCCCAAAAATGGGTGTTCTAGAACATGGCCCCGCGGGGGTGTCCAACCTTGGAAGTGCCCAGGTGGATTCGACAAATTACAAATTACGTAGACACATACGTACATCCACATAGCCCTAGAAAACACACAATATAGTGAATTGCACTGTTCTAGAGTCAAGACATCGCTATCCTAACGTATAGATACCATCTCACATGTTTATCTTTTCATGTAGGAAAGTCATTCATCAAGATCAAAAGACCCCAATTCTAAACTCGATTCCAACATGACAAATGGAGAATAGCACCTCAACCGTGAAGGAGCATAAAGGACAGACGCGGGATAACCACCCGCTAGAGTAAAAAGCAAAATAAACCCCAAATCACAAAAAAAAAAAAAAAAAACCGTACCAAGAAGAGAAAAGACATACAACACAGAAAAAGGAGGCCATCAAGACATCACGTTAAAGGAACCAAAAAAAATACACACACATCGAGGTTGGATCCGAAGGGTATCAAGGGGAGGGGAAACAGATTTTGCGACGGGAAAAAATGACAAGAAACTCGGACAAAAAGAAACAAAAAGACATCATGCATACGGACTAAAGATCACAGAAGGATCAAATAGTTCGAGGGCGCAATGCCAGTATCTCCATTTTGTTTCCGAGCCTGCCACCAACGGCCGCTCACATCGGATACTTCCAAGATCTCGTGCTTGGCGAAACTGATTTCATTGGCGTCTTCCGGGTTGGCGTCATATGAGTAGATCGCCTTGGCCCGGTAAGGGTAGTCTGTTGGCTGGGGCACTTCGCCCACTTCTTGCTCGCCGTTGGCCTGAGGCGGGGGGTTGGGGGTACCGAAGCGAGGCGCAGAGGATGATCGTTCGGCGCCGGGCGCGCCATTGGGATATCCGGAGACGGGGGACGAGGTCTCGAAACCGCCTAGTTGGGCAGAGGTGTACATCTGCGGGGTGTTGTTGGTTGCCATGGTATCTGGACGGGCGCCGAATGCACTAGACATGGGGCGGCTGCCGCGGTAGGAGGGCTCGGCCGGCTGTTCCTTGTTCAGGGCGAAGGAGTCGATGAAGCCGCGGTGGGTGGCCTGGGGTGTGGAGCCGAAGTAGAAGATCCAGATAATGGAGACCATGGAAAGGAGGATGAAGCCTGCGCCGGCGGCTTGCATGGAGGCATGTTTTCCGTAGATCAGGTTGTTTGCGCTCGTGGATGCTAGGACGAGGGCACAGGCAAGGTAACCGACGATCTGGGAACATTGTCAGTATTAGAGCCTCGTAATATTTCTGTATTGGGGAGGCATCATACCGCGACACCATAAACATGGCCCGTGTCAGTGCCAAAGGTCGTGATGAGGCCCACAATGACACAAAACATGTATGAGATGGCCCACCATGAGTAATTGGGATATTCGGTTTGGATATCGGCAATGAGAGATGCGATGAAAGCAATGAGCCATGCCAACTAGAATTGTATGTTAGTTGATGTCGGATCACGTAGGAGAAAGTCGAACGAACAATTGAAATCGAGAGGGTCATGAGCGCGAACGGATCGCCTAGGATGTTGCTAGGCCTGAATTTAGCCATTTTGTTGGATTTATTGGGTTAGGCTGTCGAATAGAATTGATATGAAAATGGTAAGAAGAAAAAAAAAAGAGAGAAGCGCGATGAGCGATGTGGTTGTATATAAGAGGTTGTTTTGTTGATTGTTGGGTCCTGAACGAGGCGGACTGGAAGGAGTGACTGTGGTTAGTTAGTGTGGGAACGAGAGATGTGCATGGAATATTCCAATGAAATTATGCGACAGATATAAAGAGGAAAGCGCAAGATTATACAACATAGAAAGATGTAGGATTAAAGTACCTTTGCTCAAAACGAAGTGGGCTTAGAGACAATTCGTGGGGGTGAAGAGGTTGGGAGTCAAAAGAAACAAGGGTCCCCTTACAGAGAGGCAAAAACAGCACCAGGCTGGGGGAGGAAAGGTAAATGGAATAAGAGATAGAATGCGTTAAAAAAAAAGGAAAAAAAAGAGTGGATAAGATTGAAAGTTGAAAGAGAAAAGAGAGAGAGAGGAGAAGATAATAATGGAAAAGGAGGAAAAGTGGCAGATACGTGGAGTCCGTCCGGCCCCCCCTGGAAATCGACGGTCTCGATTCTTTTTTGGAAAGGAAATTAAGGAATTTCAATGTTAGAAGTTACAGTAGATCTTAGAATATAATCTTAATTGATTATAATAATCTTAACTATTTAAATTACTTTTATTCCTTTCCTATATCTTATTTCGAAACATAAAACAATATAAACATAAATGGGACTCGATCTGGTGTAAACCTTGGAATCTATAAATATCCGGGAAATATCTTAGTCACCTCCGCTTTGTGGTCCCGGCCCAGGTACAACAATGTCTCAGGCCATCCTAACTATTTAATCTACTAGTCAACTAATTATCAGTTCAGGTTCTTGATGCCTTAAAATGTCAAAATTATTACCAATTTGGGGCTGTGGCGCAATTGGTAGCGCGTGCGACTCCAGTTCGCAAGGTTATCTGGTCGAGACGGGTCAGCCTCATCTTCTTTTTTTGTTTCGTTTCCTACTTTGCCCTTCACATTCCATTGTCACCACTTCGTGAATATCTTGTTTTTCTTCCTTGAATTGGTCATTACTTTCTACATAACTAGCCTGCCCGAACTCTTCAAGCCATATCGGAGAGGTCAATAACATTGTGCTAGTTACCCTTCCAATTTATGCCTGAGGTGTCTAACCACAACAAAAGCCCTAGATAACTAACTAACTAGTTGGTTAAAAGTCTCACCATATCCTCCGCTAGCAGAGTCGACTACGCCTAATTACCATAATAACCTAGTTAAATAACAATTCTGAGACATTAGACCAATCTAGCTATCTTGTTAGACCTGTTTGGGTAATTATTGGTGAAAACCATGATCTAGAACCGCGCTGCCGTGTGGACATAGGAGAATATTCTTAGTTTCAAGGTATGGAAAAGCAGCGTCTAGACAACCTTGGAACAGCATGAGACCTTATATAACCAGTATCTCTAAAAATTAACTCTGGAGTCTCGGAGTCTTCCGTACTCTGTCCTAGACAACTTTGGAGCTCTCTCTTATGTTCGTTACCAGTATTTGTCTCAATTTAGAAAAGACTTACAAAGTACTTCTGTATTTTCATATGCTAGTTAGTTGTTCTTACTCCAACAAAGTAAAAACTAAAACGATCCGGTAGAAAAGGTGATTCTGTAGAAAGAACATGGGAAAAAAAAAGATGAGGCTGACCCGTCTCGACCAGATAACCTTGCGAACTGGAGTCGCACGCGCTACCAATTGCGCCACAGCCCCAAATTGGTAATAAATTTTGCCCTATTTTACATCATGGTCCTGTATCTGCCCTTTGCTCTCGATCCTTTACTAGTATGTTGTAGGTAGACCATATAATGGGTACACGTATAAATGTCTATTTTTCCCAACAATATTATATTAGGACCTTATATTTTAAGTATAGTACTAATATTCTAATACTGTTATAATATCACCGAAAAGTAAACGGCTGCGGAAGTTTAAGAACTCTAGGTCTCTTAGCCGATACTTCGTGAACATATATATCAAACCATATACGAACGATAACATGCAATAGTTATAAGTGCACAATTTGTAAAACACACGTAAAAAGGGCATGGGATTGTTTCCTGCTTCAATGTTACCTTTACCAGTTCTTAGCCTACCCTTACCGTGAATAGAGCTATAAGTGGAGAACAAATTGAAATTGTCTGAAGTTCTGACTGATACTTTAACATTTACTCTTGTTCGTCTTGCTACCTTACCTGCTTCAGTGGTTACTAACCTGTTGCTGTCTCTTTGTGCTACTCCCTGGGCTGTGATATCCTCGGGCATCCATTTTCTAGCAAACCCCTCGGGACGACATGGATTTCTGTTTAGAATCACATGGTAAGAAATCAGTGTGAAAAACGCACTAAATAGCTCTATTTGTATTTAAATTGGTGTTTTGGAGTAACTAAATAAATTAGTTTGAATTTCACATTAACTAGTTAACATTCAGTCACTACACGTGACTCGCTCTCGGACCTCATATAATCCAGACGGGAGCTCAGGCCGCTGCCCAGTGCACCACCTGTATGATTTACAAAGATCATAGGGGCAATCTGAACTCCTAATTATCACTGCAGCGGTCTATATACTAGGCCCTAGAATCTGCTCGGGACCACATTTGAACCTTTGAAGGCAGATAAACACCGCAGGAATTCGAACCAGCCGCCTGATGGCAGCTGGTATTACTCCACCTGGGAGTGTCTTTAAGCCTCCTCTTACGCCGCCGCCAACTGCAGAGAAACCCCTATCGACAGACGCCCAGCGCGTCGTTAAACAGCTACGACTTCATCGCGCAAATTGTCAGCTGAGCCCTTGGTGGCAGATTCGGCTTAGGCCACACATTTACAAACAAGTATTAGATATCCTAAGCGTCAACAAACCTCTTAGGAATTACGTGGAGGATAAGGTCCGGTGGGCACGCCACGATTACCTACTAAACAGACACAATCTAAATAACTATCCTAGATACGACTACGATATCCGTCGTCATTATTTTATAGTCCGAATGCCATGTCCCTTACATGAGGTGTTTTCTACGAAGGTAGCGAATGACATCGCGCAACAAATTGGACAATTCCAACGACATAACGGCCCTATTGGGAAGTTCGCTCTAGGACTCGCTCACTTTGGGTCATCCCGAATCCTTTTACCCGAAGAAACAGATAATGGGGAGCAGATATTCACAAGACGTGAACCTGATATATCATTTGGACATGATCAAGCTCGTTACCCCGGTGTTGTCCTAGAGGTTTGCTATTCCCAGAAGAGTAAAAGTGTCTCCTATCTGGCGGATGATTATATACTCAATACAGATGGGAGTATAAATATGGTCATTGCCTTAGACATCGATTATCAAGGCTCTCAAAGAGCAAGTTTTACAGTCTAGAAACCGGATTTTTCCTACGTGGATGGCTTAAAGGAGCTTCGCGCAAAGGCTATTATAGAAGCCGAGGTATGTCTTCTCCCAATAAACCTAACAAAGCAAGGAACTCAAATCGATATAGGTCTTTCGAAAAAACGATGGAACCCCTGCCGAAGGGGTGACCTTACAAATTCCTCTACGAGAATTCGCACCAAAGGAGCTATCGCAAAGCTATGGCGATATAGAACAAGTTATACGCATCTCATCTCAACAACTTTGTGACTTTCTCTCAAGTGCCGAAGCTAGGCAGCGGGTGCAGACCCAACAGACAGGCGTTGTCAATCACGTTGATCCTAGTATTTTGAAACGACGGCGACCTCGAACGCCATCGGAACATACAAGTTCCGGAGACGAAAGACAATTCAATAAAAGAATCCGAGGCAATAAACGTAATAGCCAAAGCAGTGAGTATCGTCCGGGCTCCTCGTCGGGTGACTCGACGGCACAGAAAATAGAATGAACAGATCCCGAGAGACGGAAAGCATCGAGGATTGCGCAAATGGGTCTGACTTTTTTTTTCCTTCTCGTCCTCCCCAAGGAACTGCTGGCGGAGGAACAATTTGTCTCTTCTTGCCTTGTTTCTGTTACTCGAATCTTGTCTTAATGCATGCAATCTTTGTCATTATTCCTGGCCTCACGAACTATCAATTGATATTTTATATGCTCTTATCCTCGCATAGATATCAATGCCCGATCTGGTTTCTTTTGCGTAGTAATTTCGTTCGGGGCTAAGGCGATGCACATCTTCTACATGCCTACGAATATGCATTTAAGAGATCTTCGCCACATATATATAGAACCAAAAAAAAGATGTTGAGGCTGACCCGTCTCGACCAGATAACCTTGCGAACTGGAGTCGCACGCGCTACCAATTGCGCCACAGCCCCAAATCGGTGATGTCTTTGCCGCATTGTGCCTCTATGGGTATATCCTCATTTTACTGGATTTGTACATGTATGGCGGCGCGCATACACTCCAGCGCTGATGACGTATTCATGTTAGCTAACACTTAGCACCATATGTATCAATTCATACACAACTCAACAATAATCCTAATGAGTTACTTTAGTAGTCACTTTACTATGTATACCGCTTTCTACATTGCCAACCACATTGTGCGGGGGCGAAGAACCTGGGGTAGATTAGCGCATTCCAATTGACTTTAAACTTTCCAAGCAATCCATGGAATGAGGAATTTTATAAGGTAGGTAGATATTTCCACTATCCGTGGATAGATCCAACTTTGGAAGTTAGCACGGGGGATAGGTTTGCTTCCGCTATATTGGGGTGTATCAAATTCCCCGCTTGAACGAGCTGGATATCATATTCCCTCGTATTGTAAACTTGGATTTAATAATACTTAGGTAGGTATATTGTAGATCAGATCATTCCATGCGTATGTTAAACCTGGGGAATGTCCCATCTGCGCTATTCAACATGAAAACACCGTACGCCCAAATCAGAGGTATCATAGCAAAAATAAAAGCAACAGCAACAGCAAGAGGCATCACACCCCTCGGGCTCCTCTTCATAAGAACCACCAGAAACAAGCCATTTGGCACATTTCCCCTCTAAGTCTCCTCTCTCCCCTGCCTAACAACCTCCCCCTCCTAACCTCCCTCTCAACATCCTCAAGTCTCCCCTCCCACTCAGCCCAGCACTCCCCACTCCCAACAAGTCCAACGTCATACCAGCGCTGCAGCACGCGCGCTGTGCGCACTCGCAGCTCTGAGATCTCAGCCGCCTGTTCGCTCTGCGTCTGCGCGAGCCGGTCTAGCTGTGGCTGTAGGTCGATTAGAGCTGCGGAGCTCTGCGCGTCCGGCACGGGGAGGTCGTTTAGCGATGTTAGGCGCGAGGCTGTTTCAGGAAAGGCGGTGGCGTAGGAGAGGACTATTGAGGCTAGGGTTTGGGTTGTGAGGCCTTCGGGGATTTGGTGGAGCGATGTTGTTTGGAAGAGGTCTGGGTTGCGGTCGTCTGATTGGGGTTGTGTTAGTATGAGGCTGAATGGGTTGGTTTGAAGTGAATAGTTGATAGATAGTCCAGTATGTAGATATCAGGGATAGGAATTTAGATAGCAAGGTAAGAGATATGGGGACGTGTTGTGGCGGTAATGCGCGTGTAAACAACGTTAACATTGGATACATACGGATTTGTAGAACATCCCGTACGGCTGGGACACCTCGACTAAGCCGTTCTAATTCCGATTCTAGTCGTGCAAGTCGGCGGGAGACTGACTCGTCGAGAGATGCGGGCTTTTCGGGCGTGGTAGGGACGCCGGTCCAGTCTGTGGCGCCGGTGAGGAGGTAAGTGAGGCGGCGCAGGCGCGCCTCGAGGAGTTCTATGGTGGCTCCGGCTACTGCGTCGCTTTCGAGGGCCATGGTCTGTGGAACTTAAAGATCAATTGGGGTAATTGCGAGGGGAATTGACTGCAAAAGGGTGTCAGGAGCCTGGTGAGGGTGCAAACATGGCAAAATGTGGGGACAAGCTTATCAGCTACAAAAAGTGTACACCTCGGGAGGTTCGAAGGTTTCTACATACTAGACTCGACAACTTGGGAATTAAGGGTCTATTGCAAGTTAATCATTTGGCATATCCCCAAAACTGGACATTGCTTTACAGTATCTACATATGTATATATTCATCATTCAATCATTATTCATAGTTTTCGCCCCGCATGCTTCATTCAATGCTAGTTCACATGCTCAAGATGACGTGTCATGCCCTCATCATCGGCATTGTTCCACCCTGAATCCTCATGCGCGGTAATGGGCGCCGTAGAGTTAGTTGCGGTGGCACGATGGCTCAAGAGACTCGCTCTACCCTTCTCCTGCATCTCTTGGCTGGGTTTTGGTTCGTCGTCGAACCCGGAGACCTCATAGTCAAAGACATTCACCTGCGTGGCCTTCTCTGACATTTCAGGCTGCTGTTCTTTGTGCTGAGTTTCCACGTTGTTCGGCTCCGTCAAGGAATCTTCCTGGTCACTAAAGATTATGGTAGGGGTATTCTGGAATTCGTCCGCAAAAGCATCATTATCTCTGTTCACGAAGCCCTGCTTTCGGTTAGCCGAGTACTCTAGAATGATCTGAGAAATACTGCGCGTCCTACCTGAAGCTGTGACGGTGCAGGGTCCACTTGTGCATTCATTGCACTCTCGCTCGCATAGACGAGTAAGACAGAACTCGACTCTTCACGAGCGGCTTGGAGGACTTCTGTTTCTTGAACTTTCCGAACAGTGTAGCCAACAACCTCGCCATCCTGTGTGGCTGTAGTGTTACCTTGGACTTTTCGTTTCTCGGCTTGTCGGGTTTTTCCATCTTCTGCTGAGAAGCTGATACGCCACCACTGGTAATCATTGCTGTTTTCGGTGTCCGAGTCCATGTCCATCAAGTGTCCTGGGGAAATCGGGTTGGAATTCGATAAGACGTAGGTCACATGCGGTTCAGTGCATACGCCTCGTAGCGTGTACTTATGGGCAGGGGGCTCGGAAGGTGATTTGGGTGGTTCGGTAAGTGTCTTTGATATCTCACGGAGAGACTCCATGGCATTCTGCTTTCTAAGTTCCAGTTCTGCGCTCAGATTGTTAGCCAATAATATAAGCATGGTAGCAACGGCTGTCTTCACCTTTGAGCTTGGATTCTATGGTTGTGGCAATTGCCCTCAATTCCTCTGCGACCCGCATCGTTTCTGGGCCTGCCAGCCCGGAGCTAGACTGATCAGACTCCCTCACTTGCTCCGGCGCAACCACTGGCACCGCCCGGACAGCTTGCTCAAGGAGCGCCGTGATCGTCAAACTGCCCACGGGATCCACTGGGATGGTATAACGATGTATGAGTTGTTCGAGTTTCAACACGTATTCCTGTATCTGCTGTCGTTTTGCACGAAATTCACGAGCGAAAGTTCGGCAACTGCCAAGATACCGATCTGGATAGAACACAAAATGAATATCCACACCCACAGGGTTTGGTTTTTGAAGAGCATCGAGTCTAATGACGAGAACCTCTGCTAAGTCTTCAAGCCATGCGTCCTCAAGCTCACTCCCCGGTCTGTCTGACCATAAAGCCGAATCCAAAACGTCATAGAGCGTTTGGTCATTGTCCTGCTCAACAGGAGGCTCAAGAGAGAAGAGTTTCCTGCCCTCGGGCTCAGCAAACTCGTCGAAAAGTTCTTTCTTGTATGCATGTGACGTGAATATGGTTGCCAGTGGATTTTCAGGGTCTGCTTGAATGGCTGCACCATGCCATGCCTCCAAAAACCTGGTGACGATCTCATCCGAATCCGCCGATAAGGATGACATGCTCTTGATCTTTGCTAAACTGTCGCTGCTGCCAAAGGCACGTTTCGTAGTATCCATAAAAGCCATCAGTCGCTGTGTCTCATGAATGATGTCATCCCAGTCGCTATCCCCGGTCTTGTCATCAGTCACCGTGACAATCTTTGGCAGGTTAATGGGTTGCCCGTTCCACCACTGCGACTCATGGCCGTAGTCAAACAGCGGTTTGTTCCGCAATAGCAACGCTTCTCGCGCGAGGGGGAATACTGTGGAGAATTGTCAAGAATCCTCCTAGGTAAATGCCGTTGGGGTTGGGGCGGATAAACGCAGGCTCGCCCTCCAATCTTTTGCGGTCTTCTGGGTCTGGGCTAATCATGACTTCTTCAGAGGATGTGTTGAATAGGGTCATCGCCCAAGCGCCTTCTTCGTAGTGATCCCGGGTTGCTTTGTTGAATTGCGGCTGTTTGTGCAATGTTACCCCGGTTTCCTGCTGTCCTATGTCCGAATTCAACGACATGGCAACTGCCTGCTGCAATTCCTTTTCTTCGCGTTGCGCCAAACTGAGACCTTGTCCAGAACCTTCTATATGGTCAAATAACCACAAATTAGCATACCTCTTGCAGTTGAAATGTCAAGATCATGATACCTTTCGGAGCTATCGCGACAGAATCTTGATATCCAGTATTTTGTTCCGGGTCACGTATGTCCGTTCGGGAAGGGGGACGAGAGGGCGGTGCTGTCGCTGGCATTGGTGGCGCGTTGTCTTGTTGGGCAAAATCCCATGCTGAGGCGGGGTATGTTAATTTCTAACCCGAATTCGCATAAGGGAGGTGATCTTACAAGAACCTCTGTTGTCATCCCAGTAACCAGTTATCGGCTTTGAGATGTCAGCTCATAGCCAGGAGTTGCTGCGCGCCGCCAAATTTACCTTTAGCTGAGACCCTGTCGGATCTTCGAAGTATGCGTTAATCGCTTTCTGTGAGTCGAGATTGTTTCCCTGTACAGAATAATTTTAGTTACGATACAGTTTATCAGCCTGGTGTCAGTCTCCTACCTTCAAGAAAGCGATGGCTTGCTCGCGTGTTGTGCTTGTGAAACTGACAAAGCTGGTGATAGCTTCCTCGGTCGGCTCGGAGGCCATGTTGTCTGGTTCTGCGCTGAGACCGGAAATGAAGATATCAATGTACAAGCATACCAATACTAACAGCAAATAAAAAGCAAATGAAGGCAGAAGAGTTGGGAAAAAAGAAAGAGAAAGACAAAGACAAAGTGTCGCAACGGAGCTTCCCCACCACATGACGCCAAGCGTCAAGCGTCAAGCGTCATTCCGCTATTTACATCCTTCTTCTCCTTGTGCTTCCCCCTGCCTTAGTTCTTCATTTCTTTGGGCCTAAAATATACAGCTCTTTGGGGTTATTCTCGGCCATTTCTTTCAGTTTTTCACCTTGTTCTGACTTTAACAAGGATCATTTGTCGGTTCAGTTCACGATTCACAATGAATCCAAACATATTTCGAGAACTCATTGTCTCTTTCAAGTGTTTGAATGGCTTACTCTGGACATTTGCAACACCATACTATTTATGGTTGAAACAAAGAAGTGTGTATAATAATGCAATAGCTCTTGGGCCGAGGCGAACGAGTATAAAGGCACTTCTCTCCCCCGCCAGATAATCAATCATTCATCATACATTCTAAACAATACAGCATCCAACATCCAACATCCAACATCCAACATTTCACTTTTATCTTTATAAGACCTCTTATCTTATTACATTTTATAGTTACCACAATGGCCCCGACACGCAACAACGCAAGCAAGACTACCAGCAAGAAGACTGCCAGCAAGAAGACTGCCAGCAAGAAGACTGCCAGCAAGAAGACTGCCAGCAAGAAGACTACCAACATGAGGGTCAACAAGAAGATCGCCAAAGCCCCCCTACCTCCTGTCGATCTCAACAAGCTTTTCCCGCCCTGGGGCTCCGAAGATGCCAAGAACCAGACGGCAAACAAGGAAGCTACTGATATCACCGTGGCCATATACCATGACATCAACGCCTACTGCGAGCTTGAGAGACTTGCGGGAGAGAATGTTTATGGCTGTCTAGAGACGTTCTCCAACCTGCGTACCTTTACGGAAGGGTTTATGGAGCGGGAAATTACCGGCTACATGTCCTGCATGCAATCCTTCGAGGCGGAACATGGTGAGTTCCAATCCGTCACACCTAACAGTAGATTCTTAGAGTTCGTTACTGCACTCGGATGGAAGATGTTTGCTATCTGTTCCCATACCGAGTCTTTCCGACGAGGTATCAAAGAAGCCGACGATAGAGCCTGGGGCTGCCTGCTCCAGAAGATTCACGAAAACCTCTTGAGTATTGAACTTTACGCGCACAACCGTACCCTGAAGTGGCGCGACATTCTCTGGGTCTACCAGAACTACCCCATTCCAGGCCTGCCCGATATGAAATCTGAAATCGAGACATATATGAACTGGAAAGTCGATCACCCTCACCACACCGTCATCACGCTCGACGGCAAGCTGAAGGAGCCCATCTACAACGGCCAGTTACAGAAGCACATTAACGAGAGTATCTATGATCCCAAGAAGTGGAGTGGTCAGAAACAGGACCCGACGCTTCGCCACAAGGCCAATGGTACTCCGACAAACGTTGGACGCCAATGTGTTCGATGTGGCAGCCCTGTTTCGTGTGCCTGCCGCTTGGAAACTCGGGCAGGAGAACTGATTGAGCTGAGAGAATACTCCGGGACTGGCACTGGTGTTCGAGCGCTGACTAGATTCCGACGCGGTGATATTCTCGATATATTCATGGGCGAGCTCCTTCCCGATATCGTAGAGAATGTCTATCCTCTGACGCAAAACGACGACAAAAGCAATACTACTACCGCTACAGTTAACAGTTTGTGTACAATTTGCCCCCACCAGTTTGGCAACTGGACTCGTTTTATCAGCCACTCGTGCCGGCCCGCAACGCAGTTCATGACTCGTACCATTGGAAACCGAGTTGTGTGCACAGTTGAGGTCGTTCATGATATTCTGCCATTTGAAGAGATCACCGTTGGCTATGGTGATAGGTACTGGACTGCTCTTGACTATGACTGCCTATGCGGGCACTGTGATGGTTCTGGGAGTGAGTAGGTGACTAACTACGTACTTGATTTCCTCTGCTACTTCTTGGCGTTCCCTTTCCGTTTTAGCCTTTTGCTCACTGGCTGAGCAAAGTTGCCCGAGAGCAGCTTAACAGCTCACCTTAAAAAATGCACCACGCTATTCAGATTCTTTTTATTTTCGCTTGATTTTTAATGAACTATCGCTTTTATTATCTACCGCTTGCTCCTAGGAATACCGCTTTAGCTCTAGCGACCTAGAAATCCGTAATATTACTACTAAGAGGCACTTTCAAGCTCTTTATATCCATAGAAACTAGAGAATAGATAATCCACGATGTTAACTTCACCAACATTTTCCTCGTAGTATACCGCAGCCCTGGGGCTTGTCCACATGTGCGATGAATATCTAAGTTTCTCTTGCCAGGTTTCGATAAGATTCAACAATATCAAAATTCATGCCAGTTCTAGACTATAAATACATAACATTGACCGGCGGGCTCGCGTGATGACTCTGGGGGTCATATTGATGCCAACTTCCTTCTACAGCAATCATCATATACTATGGGATATTAAACGCCAGTGCATACATAGTATCCACTCCAAAGGTTGCTGCACTTCGCATCGATGGTCGGGTTCCACTTACGGAACTGAGCGAGAGTGATACCACCTGCCTCCTTCTGAATCGCAGGGCAGCTCTCACCATCAGCAACCTTGTGGTATGTCTTGCAGTCCGAGGACAGGTTGGGCATCTGCGGCGTAGGGCCATGGGTGTTGGTAGCGCCGGGAATGTGGACACACACGTTATAGTCCAGTTGCAGGTTTGTGCAGTCTGAGGCGCGTAAAAGTTAGTGTTGAGGAAATGGGTTGGAGATATTCTTTGAATGGTTTTCACATACCAGAGTCAATGGCGGGGTTCCAGTCGATGAACTGTTTGTGGGTGATCTTGTACTCGGTCTGGATGGAGTCGCACTGGTCACCGGAAACGACCTTGTGGAACTTATCGCAGTTCCCAGCAATGCCGGACTGCGTGGGGGTCTTTCCACCGTCAGTAGGCGTGGGAGCAGCAGAAGTGGTAGTAGTTGCTCCAGGGACGTGGATGCAGACGTAGTAGTCTACCCAGATGTTGGTACACTCTGATAGTTGTTAGTTAGCTAAGCTGCAGAAGAAAGAAATATGAATGAAGATGTGGAAACATACTTTCGTCGATGTAGGGGTTCCATTTCAAGAATTGCAAATGGGTGATTCCGGCTGAAGCTTCAATATTATAACAGCTGTCCCCGTCCGAAACCTTGTAGAACTTGTCACAGTTTTCAGCCAGACCCGGTTGGGTGGGCTCATGGTCACTGGCCGAAGAGGTCGTGGTGGGAGCCTTCGTAGTCTCGGTCGAGCTGGAGGTCGTCACGGCAGTCGTGGTCTCAGCGGCGCTGGAAGTTGCGATAGTCTTGGCGGGCTCATCATCATTCGCCTCACCAGAGACACAGTACTCAGCGAGATCATCGAATTTGGCGCAGTCCAGATCAGGATTGAGGGACTTGAGCTCCTTGGTTGTTATGCCCCAGCTGTCGGCAAAGGTCTCACAAGTGTCTCCAGAACTGGCAGCTATCGTGAAGGTGCAGTCAACACCACGACGAGAAAAGCCATGTCTGATGGAGCGTGCAGAAATCAATCCCGGCAAGAGAGCCAAGGCAAGAACAGACTTTCCGTACATAATGACTATATTGCTGAATTCTAGTAATGATTTTCAGGAACCAAGTCGATCTGAACCAGACTGGGCCGTAGCGTCGGATAACTTGTGCATTTATATGCATTTTGAGAGTCTTTCGACACAATTAGCCCCCAACGACATGGTTGACTCCAATTCCTCCATCGTTTCTGGGAGACTTGTCGACCCGCATCCAAAATCACCGGCGCGATAGATATGAGTAGTGCTGTCTCAGTTCAATCTCAATCCATCATGGCAAAGGAAATTGCAGTGGGCTGCATCGTAGGTTGAACTATGCAAATGGGCCCTATTGCAGCTTTGATAGTCCCAAATAGGAAGGATGGGGCCGGGTTTACTCGCTTTTTCGCTTACAGACTGTAACGTTGGAAGCACGCCAAGGCCCTAAAAACGCCCGAGGAACTAAGAGTTCCTCACAAAACCTACACAAGTCAGCCACAGCTCAAAATTCAGCCCAAGGCATCAGCCTATCGCAAACCTCGGCCCAGTTCCAAACTGCACTGACCTTCGAACCTGATTTCAAAAAACCGCCCTATGCCTAACCGGATCTCCACCTGCACTTCAGTCGTGGTGTCCTGGTGTCCCGATTGGTGATCCGGCCCGGGAATGGGGAAAGGGGGTTGGCAGGACTTTCATTCTTGATGTGAATTGGCCACATTTAAATTACCAGGGCTTGACCCACCTTCCACCCCCGATTGTTCCACCCGCAATGGCTTGAACCTTGGAGTCGACCGAGGATCGCCCGGTAGTGTATAATCTAGCCCTATGGAACCGTTATTGTTTTTGTGCCCTCGTAAATGCAAAAGATTGTCGGAGACCATGCTCTCAAAAGGGCTCAAGGTTCCCTAATTCAATCGCGCCCAACATTAGGACCCCGGTTGGAAGAGCGCTGTGGGACTTAATAAGCCCTTTTACTTGGCATTGAGGAGGGTACTTAACTAGGAAATACAGGTACTAGGGTACTTAATAGTGTAGTTTGCCAATAGACCCTATAGTTAGTTAGTTATACTCCGTACTCGGAAGGCAACTTGCTGTTTGAATAATGTAAAAGTTACTAGCACAAGAAAAATTTGCCCTCACGTAAATTTTTCAAGCCGCTACTTGTAATGCCAAGAAAGTGCTAAATTGAAGTGAGGTTGCAGCACTAAGCTTGTTCTAGTACGAAAGTCGACAAGTCGTGGAGTTCCGAGGTGCGTAGGGACCTTAAACAAAGGCCAAGAGCTAGATATATTAAATATCACACGACCCGACGAGGTCCACGGTAAACTCCGGTGTGCAAAGGCCCATGGCTAGGGATGTTAGTGGTGATATTATAGTTCCTATTCTGTATATTGTGTAGAGAATAGTTATTGGTGATGTTATTGATTTATTAGTATTTGGAATATTTACATAATTTATAACTAACATATTTATTATCTAGTATTTCGTCAATTCAGCTCAAATGCGGCCCTAAATTGGCCCCATTCCTTGTATTAAAAAAATATGATATCTCCAATCTCGCTCTGACAGTAATACTTCATACATGTAGAATGCTCTAATACATAGAAATGTGAACAAGATCGCATCTAAATCAAGAACGCTCCCACAATCAATACACTAGTAGTCCACCATTTCAGCGAAGAAGCTATATCGGTAATAGCAGCCCCGCTGTGCTTAGCTGGGCAGCTCACAACGGGGTCAATACCCCGGCACTTAGCCGAGGTTATAGCAGCTGCTATGCTCGAGGCAGCCGAAGGAACGATACTGACTTTGCAAGGAGAAGGAGTAGGCGCCGGAGTCTCGAGCACGGCGCATTTGTCGCCTTCAAGGTAGCCCGATTGAGCTATGAGAGTTTTCTTGACGTTGAACGCTATGGCGGAGATGTCATCGCAATTGTCATCGGCAGTAAGAGCGGTCAAATTGGGCTGACCTGCCCCTTTTTTCGTAGTGAAGCGGATGGAATGGCTCTGGGACGGGCCGCTCAAGTTGAACTCGGGCTTGTCGTCGGAAGTGGTCCCATTCGTCGATGTAGAGCAGTTTGTGTATTCAAGTCCCCAGACAAATTGCCATTCATTCTCGGTGTTTAGACTCTCGGGATGCTGAGTGCTTGGTATGCTACCCTTAAGGTACCACACCGGGTCCGTCGTATTAAGAGGCAACTCACCGTCATCGAAATAGGCGGCCATTGATTGATTCCCCCTTGGGAGATCCACCGGCCACACACCGTATCTGAGGTATGGATAGAGTCCATCAATCACTCTAGGGTTCTGATACGCGAAGATGACGGGCATAAGCTCCATCGGCTCAAAGGTGCCATTTCGTGGGAAGATCAGATCGACCTCTCCGAAGCCCAAGTCATGCGTATTGGCCGCTCCTAGAGACGCCATAAGGCCGAGGGCGAGAAGTTGCGCCTTGATGTTGAACATCCTGCGAGTTCGGCAATATTGGAGTGGAAAGGTCTGTCGTGAAACAATGGATGACTAGGACAGTCTAAAAGAAAAAGCCGAGATCAATGATATCGATCCCAAGGCTCTTAAGGTCAGGAGAAGAGATCGAAAGACAGGGGAAGTTTTGATGCAGGGCGAAGTACCGAAGTACCCCAAATGTGGTGTAATTTTTCCGGGCACAAACGGGACTACGCGCGCTAGGGAGATTAGAAGGTTTTGTAGTTTGGGGGTGGAAAAGAGGGTCCTTTTTTAAAGTGGGTCATTTCAATACGAAATTATATACGAAATTATATACAAATACACAACTAATCCGTATATTATTATGTATATGTATGTAATAACCCTAGTTTATGTCTATTTTACAAGCCAAGCCAGTGCAGTGGATCAAGCCAGTGCTTAGGGGTCTTTTGCCACTCTTGGCGGCCCCTGTATGATTTGTACAAACGCTGCAATTGGGTGTCCTATACTTCACGGCATTCTACGGAGATTATGGTGCATTTCTCTGAAACACCGGATGGATCTAGTTCTCGAACTCGAAGAAAGTATCCGCATGAGTATGTCGTCCGTGATACAATCACACCCGGGGGCCATACCAGATGGGTCTGCGGATCCAGTACAGCCCTGGAGAGACTTGGACTTTGGAAGCATTCTACAACATATGTCAAGTCTAAGATTGGGGGCGAGAAAATATCGTATATTTATTTGCGCTGCTCCAGCACTGGACATGGTTTTCTCAGAATAAATATACCTCTCGACTTGGGGAGATTCTCGGGACTTTCACCGTTCCCAACAGACACTCATTTTCATTTGTTTATACACTCTTTTGGTCAATTTTCTTCACTCTTTTCAACTTTTTTACATTACACTCTTTTCAACCTCCGCAAAGAGGGGTCCAAAGCCATGGCGCCCCTTTTGAATGGCATGGCTGCAGGCATACTGCTATCGGCTGCAGTCGTCTCCGGTCAGGGAAATCCCAGACTGGGTGCCAGTCCAAGCTATCAGGGGTTTAACAACGCCTGCCCCGAGCGATGTATTATCACGGGACCCAATCCCTCCAATTGGTCGACCTACCACGATATGAAACAGCTCGAAAGGTGTGACCTGCCTCTGTTCTATGGCTTCAATATGTACGATGATGTCGATGATACCAACTCTTATCATCGTATCCTCGCTTGCTCGGCATACGGCAATGACTGGAGAGAAAACTCGCAAGCCCATTTGCGAATTTCTCGCCCTGTGACGGAGTATAAGGTCAACTATGAGATTGGCTGGTCGTCACATTCAGAAGGCACTGAATCCGAGTACCGCTCCTTGATCAGACAGATGCGTGATTATATTGCCCGCGGACATCTTGATCCCAGCAAGACAGCTATGCTATATTCTCGCTTTGGTGCCACTTCAGCTGGTATCTACATTGGCAACAGTCTACAAAGCAAAGACATTAGCGATGTGGCTCTGGAGTCTCTCATCGACGATTCCCACGATTTCGATGGACGTCGAGACAGCTTGGCTATGCAGCTTTGTGGACCACACTATGACTCTCAACACGTCTTTGGATTTCTGGCTCTGAGAAATGGCACCTTTAGATCCATCCAGTCTGCCTTTGAATCCTGGTCCAATGCCGAGTGCCTTGACTTCGAACAAAGCACGAACTTCACGACTAGTGCCCACTTTACATCTCCCATGCTGTCTTCCATCAAGTCAAGAAATACGACCACAAGCAGCATGAAAGCCTCTGGTTCACCCCTACCTGCCAAGTCATCTACGCAGCAAGAGGGGAATCTGCTATCTTCCAGGGCGGAGTGCAAGACAGAGAAGGTTCGAGATGGTGATAGCTGCGCCGCACTCGCCTCGAGGTGTGGTATCTCCGGGGCTGACTTCATTAAGTACAACCCTGCAAAAGGCTTCTGCTCGAATTTAAATCCTGGTCAGCACGTTTGCTGCTCCTCTGGTTCACCCCTACCTGCCAAGTCATCTACGCAGCAAGAGGGGAATCTGCTATCTTCCAGGGCGGAGTGCAAGACAGAGAAGGTCCAGGATGGTGATAGCTGCGCCGCAATCGCCTCGAGGTGTGGTATCTCCGGGGCTGACTTCACTAAGTACAACTCTGCAAAAGGCTTCTGCTCGAAGTTAAAGCCTGGTCAGCACGTTTGCTGCTCCTCTGGTACACTTCCCGACTTCAGCCCAAAGCCCAACAAAGACGGATCATGTGCCACAACCACTGTTGGCGATGGCGAAAGTTGTTCAACGATTGCTGCGGCCAATAGTCTTACCGAGAAAGACATCGATGGTTTCAATCAAAAGACTTGGGGATGGACTGGGTGCAAAAATATCTTCAGAGATTCTGTCATATGTGTCAGCAAAGGATCTCCGCCCATGCCGGCTGAGGTTTCTGATGCCCAGTGTGGTCCCCAGGTTCCTGGCACGAAGCCTCCAAAGGATATGAACAAGCTTGCCGATCTCAACCCATGCCCACTTAATGCTTGCTGCAACACATTTGGCCACGTATGCTCCCCATCTGATTTCCGCCGTTACACTGGGCTCACTAATACTGCCTATAGTGCGGAACCACAGCAGAATTCTGTACTGATACTAACACGGGCGCCCCTGGTACTGCTAAAGCCGGCACCAACGGCTGCATCTCACACTGTGGTATGAAGATCGTGAAAGGAAATGCCCCCAGCGAGTTCCGCAGCATCGGATACTACGAAGGCTATCAGTTCAAACGTGATTGCTTGTATCAAGATGCGTCGCAAATTGATCATTCAAAATATACTCACTTGCATTTTGGTTTTGCCGATATCTCCTCCGACTACAAAATCAGCATCAACGACAAATCCACCAACTATCAGTTCCTTAACTTTAAGCATATCTCTGGTCCCAAGAGGATTGTCAGCTTCGGTGGATGGGACTTCTCTACCCAAGCAGACACATACCAGATTTTACGCCAAGGAACCAACGCGGCTAATCGCAAGAAGCTTGCCACTAACATTGCGAACTTCGTGAACGAAAACAACCTTGACGGTGTCGACATTGATTGGGAGTACCCAAGTGTATGTACTGTCCTATGCGCAATTTCTCTCCGAGGCCGAAAGTGTGACCAGTTACTAACAAAAACCAGGCACCTGATATTCCTGGAACCCCGCCTGGTGACAAGAGCGAAGGAGACAACTATCTCGCTTTCCTTGTGATTCTGAAGAATCTTCTCAAAGACAAGTCTGTTTCAATTGCTGCTCCTGGCTCATACTGGTACCTCAAGGGCTTCCCCATCGCGAAGATCAGTAAGATTGTTGACTACATCGTCTTCATGACTTATGATTTGCACGGACAATGGGATGCAGGTAATCCCAACGCCCAACCAGGTTGCGATGATGGAAGCTGTCTGCGAAGCCATGTCAATATGACGGAGACCCGACAATCTCTTTCCCTAATCACCAAGGCTGGTGTGGACTCGGGCAAGGTAGTTGTCGGCGTCAGCAGCTACGGAAGATCTTTCAAAATGGCCGATGCAGACTGCGATGGACCGCTGTGCAAATTCACCGGAGGCCGGCTGAATTCCAATGCCGATAAGGCAGAGTGCACTGATACCGCAGGCTACATCTCAAATGCGGAGATCAACCAACTCCTCAAGCACAACTCATCCCGCGTCAATAAACATTATATTGACACCCACAGCAACAGCAACATCATGGTCTACGACGACACAAATTGGGTGGCCTACATGAGCCCCGAAATCAGGGCTCAGCGAGCCAAGATGTACGGATCCCTTGGTATGGGCGGCACAGTCAACTGGGCCACCGATTTGGAAGAATTCAACGACGCACCCGAGGGATTCGATAATTGGCCTGGTATTATACTTCAAGCGAAGTCTGGCATCATCACTCCACGAGGCGCTGGTAAACGCAGGGGCAACTGGACTAACAAGGGCTGTGACGACGAGTACTACAGGGAGACTCCCTATTGGTCCCCCATGACCCGCTGGGAAAAGCTTGGCGCCGCCGATGCCTGGAGTGATGTGATTGCGGATTGGAAGGCCTACCGAGACAACTCTGACGAAGACGACATCAAGGATAAGTTCTCGTCCCAGATTTTGTACTACCTTGGCAACTTCGATGGGGCAAAATGCCATAGTATTGAAGCAGACTCCAATTGCGTGCAGACTCGAAGCTGCTCGGAATTCGAGGTTGACAAGAATGACAAGACAGGTGCTGCGGCTGTGCTCATCTGGAACTCTTTTGTCGCGATTCATCAGGTAAATACCATTTCTACCCTCCCGGGTAGTTCGAAAGGACCCAGCTAACAATAGATACGCCCAGATGTATGCCGAGTTCAAGAGCGCACTTGTGGCTAACGCCGCACTTGTCATTGACAACACTCTCCCTGATTTGGAGAACACATTTGCGCCTGTTCCTCCAAAGAAGGATGATTCGTGGTTAAACGCCGTACTAGGTCTGGTCGCCTTGGGTGTGCCAACAGTTGGCGGGAAATTCTTCGACAGTGGTACTCTTCCCCTTATGAGCTTTACCTGGTCAAATTCCTCAAATTACTAATTTACATTATAGTGCTGTCGGAAATACCTGCGATGGCCGCCAAGACCGACGCCTCGAAAGATCACCACAAGTCGGCCTTGAACGCCATTCTCACCAGTCCTGTCACGCTTGCAATGAATCTGAAAAGCGATCCGGACGTGTAGGTCTTCCAAATTTAACTTTGATATGAAACTATAGCTGACTACGATTCATCTCCAGAGATGACTGGACACCCGAAAAGCAAGCCGAATTCTCCAAGTACATGGGTCAGAGTCTTAAAGCTTGGGAACAAATTTTCACAACGGATCTCAAAGATCTGTTCGACGGCACTGACAAGTCCATTGAAAGACTCACCACCATGATAGCGGACGGACGCCTGCTCGACGGCGTTGCGGAAGACCGCCCCTACCCGAAAAAGACAAAGCGCAAGGATAAGGAGGTCGAAGCAACAGATGCTCAGAAGAAGTCGGTGGAAGATAGTTTCCTAACTACCTTTTGGGCATACTCCATTCCCGCTGTTTGGCAGGCCTCGGGTCATCATCCTTTCATCATTGACACAGGTCGAGACTGCGATGATAAGGATGGTGACAAGTATACCAAGGGCTTGAAGTCTGCGTGTTATGAAGAGAGGCTGTACCAATTGGCGGATCCTGATGGCAAATCGCACCCTTGCTCAAAGAACTGCGGAATTCCGGGAGGCTGCAAATGCCCCGACAGTGCATTCTCTTCGCCCGCAGGTGTTGATGAGCTTGATGGCAAGGCCTGGAGTGGACTCAAGGTCGACGATATCATTATTGGGTAAGTCTTCGCTTTCTCCACGGATTTTCTTTCATCCCTCATTACAGATCACTAACAAATGACCCTACCAGATCTGTCAAAACATACAAGCAGAACGGCAACGAGAACGGCGGAGCCAGCGCGAATCCAAAAGACTCAGGCACATTTGGTGCCCTCAAGAAGTTGGACATCACGACTCCTGGATTCATGCGTCTTCCCGTGTGCAGTGAGACTCTGGCCCGCAAATCATGGGAAAATGCCGACAAGACAGATGCCACAAGACATAAGGATGGCTTCCCATGCAACAACGACAATGGCAAGTCGTACTGCACCACATCGAAAACAACCTATGTCGAAGAGACTACGAGTGGATCGCCACTTATCGATGATTGCCTGGTCATTGTCAAGAACATCCAAGGAACAAGTGGGTCATGGATCAAGCCGATCGAGAGGCAGTTCGGAATTCTCAATTATGGAACTTGTACTTTCGGCATTGAGGGCAAGGGTCGTAAAGGAAATGTCGACGAATATGTCGGGGCCCAGGACGTCGTCGATATTATCCGATACACTTCGAAGCACTGGGGCCACGGAACTGATAAAATGCAGGGCAAGGGAGTCATGCAGTGCGATGGTAACATCAAGAAGCAGGAGGTGCACTGGGCTATATACAAAAAATAGTTTTTGGTCATCCTGACTCCTGAGGTCTCACCACGGGTGCTTGACAATTAATTATTGGGAACTAGAAATAGATAGATCTTAATCACCGAGCTATGAACATTTCCCAAACTCCCTTAAGTGGCTAGTTGTCATCTCAAAAGTATTTGAATATAAGGACATTGCGTCAAGATCATTGATGCTGAGACATAACGTTGTAATTTATCGCATTAGTTACTAAATTTTTGCTAGGGCTTGTAGTGAAGCAATGAGGTGACAGCATGAATAGTATACTCTTAAAAAAAAGTCAGAAAATAAAAAAGTCATCGCCCGGAGGCGATCCGGCAACTTGAGATCAAGCGGCACTCAAGCTGAGGATGGGCGGGTTCCAAACAAGCGGTATGCTGCCAATAAGTCGCCAACGACTACCGCTTGGCCAAATGCCCGCACATCCATACGTACATGCCGACAAGTGCAATATATCATGCGAAATGTGCATAATAATGAGGTAAAAAAGAAAAGTATGACTTACTGTTACGAGATCACGTGATCTCCCTGCTTGCTGTCATTAGTCCCCACTTGTAGATAGTTCTCTCTCTCCCCCTTTCCTCTCTAACGCAATAACGCAACAATACAAGAGTTTCCAGTTTATCCTACTGCCCTCTCTTAAGACTTACCCTCCAACAACAACAACCTTCTCCTCGGGTCTACCCTCGCTACATTTCACAACTCTTTAACATCTTCCTCTTTAACATCTTCCTCTTTAACACATCTTCCTCTTCAACATCTTCCTCTTTAACATCTTCCTCTTTAGCATCTTCCTCTTTAGCATGTACGCCATCTTCTCTGAGTCTGAGCCCGGACTGAAATTTACTTAGCGAGCCTGACTCTAAGCGCCCTCGTAAAAGCGGCGACAAGAGAAAGTACGTTACGTACAGTCACCTAGGTAGGATTCCGTAGGAATAGGCTAATGCCGTGATAGATTATGTATTTTGCATTTTTTGAGTTAAGAACTGATTTTATTTTAGTTTGACGCATAATAATGTAGGAAACATGTTGACTAACTAACTAGTTAACTGGTGATGTAGTTCCCCGTCCCCGCAATTTGGCAATTTGGGGGTGCGGGGAAAGCTACACTTTCCGTGGTCCTACTCCGCCGTTGTTCCCTTCAATCCCTACTGTTTCAAACACCTCGGCTTTGAACCCTTTAACTGCTACTTACTTATTGCAGTACTGTTTTTGGTCGAGTCAATCACAGCTCTCAGGTAGAGTCATGAGATCTTGGTCAAGCTAGCATTGGAATAAGAACATGAGCTACAGCGGAATTATCACGGGGCTTGGCCTGGGAGGGCGTATATCCTGTCGGAAGTCTGTGTTTGGAGGAAAGAGAGTTCTTCAGCAGGCACCCTTGGTCAATAGAGGGCTCCTAACAGAGAGCTATGCGCGGGGGCCATCAAGTGTGAGTAATCTCTGTCCAATAACTATCCAATAACAATCGGAAAATATCACTATTAATGTGAAGCAATGTTTATCTGACCATGTTGCTTTCGATATAGCCGCCCTTGATTGAGTCTACTGTTGGAGACCATTTTGCCAAGATTGTCGCGGAATGCGGAGACAGGATAGCGTGAGAATCGTGACACAATATCGGTCAATTGAGACTCGAGATACTAACTATATTGTATAGTGTTATCTCAAGACATCAGAATGATCGAGCAACCTATGCCTCTTTAGACGCAAGAAGCAATGCTCTCGCTCGGGGGCTGGAATCAGTGGGTGTTGGGAAGGGCGAGCGGGTTGGAGTCATGCTTGGGAACTCGATGGAATATGCTGTGGTACGTTAGTTGCCCGTCGGAATACATCTAAGAAGAAAATAACAAAGCTAATATCCGTGAGAAGGCAACATACGCGTTATTCAAACTTGGTGCCGTTTTGGTAAGTCAGCCTGCTCATCGTGGTAGGCGACATCGTGTTTAATAATCTCATAGGTTCCGCTCAATCCGTCTTTCAATACTGCACAAGTGATTGCAGCCCTGGGTCACCTACAATCCAGTCATCTTTTAATTAGCACAGAGTCCAATCTGCCCAGGAAAAAGCCACGCAGCAATGTTCCCTTGCTCGATGACCTTGTTGGCGACCTCCATAAGTCAAACCTGGAATCCGCATTAGTCCCTTCTCTGAAGAATATCATCATGGTCGACAACTCTGAAGGCCGCGTGGATATATCTTCCTATAAAAGCTTGACACCATATGCATCCATTATGTCCCAGCTTACTGCAGACGGCTGCCCACTTCCTGCTCGAGATCTCTCGCCGGATGAAACAGTGAATATCCAGTTCACGTCAGGGACCACATCAATGCCCAAGGCAGCATGCCTAACCCATCGCTCTATCCTTAACAATGGCTCCCAGATCGGTGATCGCATGCTCCTCACACCGAATGATATTGTCTGTTGCCCGCCGCCGCTGTTCCATTGTTTCGGTGGTATATTAGGCTATATGGCGGCAGCAACCCACGGCTCGGCCATCGTCTTCCCCAGTGAGTCCTTCGATGCTCGTGCTGCTCTAGAAGCAGTCCAAGAAGAGAAATGTACCGCGCTGCACGGTGTACCGACAATGTTCCTCGAGGAGCTGAGCATGATTGAGACGGGAGAAATCTCAAGCGAGGGATTCCAGCACCTTCGCACGGGCATCGCTGCTGGAAGCAGTATTCCGCCTGAGATAATGAAAAAACTGCACAAGGTGCTGAATCTGACCGAATTGACAATCTGTTATGGAATGACGGAAACAAGCCCCGTCTCGGCTATGACAACGACAGACGATCCCATTGAGAAGCGGATCTACTCTGTCGGAAAGCTCATGCCGCATGTCGAGGCAAAGATTGTGGACCCGATGGGCAAGAAAGAAATTCTGTCTATAGAGAGGCGGGGCGAGTTGGCAGTGAGCGGGTACCTGTTAATGAAGGAATATTGGGCCGATCCAGAAAAGACCGCGGAGGTCATGATTCCAGATGAATCTGGCAAGATGTGGATGCATGTGAGTCGAATCTTCTATTCTTTATCTAAAGTAAAGCTGTTTCCTTTTTTTCTGACGTCGTGCTTTTAGACTGGAGATGAAGCTTCCATCTCACCGGATGGATATATCACTATCACTGGACGGATCAAAGATCTGATCATCCGCGGTGGCGAGAATATACACCCCCTAGAGATCGAGAATTGCTTGCTAGCCAACGATGGCATTGCAAATGTGTCTGTCGTCGGCGTCCCGGACGTGAGATATGGTGAGGCAGTGGCTGCTTTCATTGTTCCTCGGGACCATGGCTCAAAGAAACTCACTGCTGAGGATATTCAGCAATGGGTGCGTGAAAAGCTTAGCAACCACCTTAGTAAGTCATAACCCAGACTACTGCATCGTTTCCCATCGATTTCAGCCGGTCTCTCCGACCATCCTAACCATTGCCTATAAACCGAGCTGATATTTGTTTTCTTGTAGTTCCGAAGCATGTCTTCTTTTTGGGCCCCTCGGAGTCTTTACCCAAGACAGCAAGTGGAAAGATTCAGAAGTTCAAGCTCAGGGAGAAGGCCATTTCACTTTTGGCCAAAAGCACATCATGAATAGCGAAGCATATAAGGCCGAGGCCTGAGTTGCCATAGATTCTAAGTGAATAAGTGTCTGGTATTTCGGTACATACTGGTGTATTCATGTATCATTTCTCATTAGGTAGAATTGTCATATGGCCATAAGAAGGCTAAATTAGGCATCCTACTAGTCTCGAGCATTGCCACAAATCACGAAGGTTATACGCGTTTTTCACACACCGCCTATAGTGTAGCTAGAACACCAATAAAGGGGGAATACCTTAAGAAAACGACAGCTAAAAAGACGGCACAAGGCCACATAGGCGGCTGACTATTCTTATGTAGTATCATACAAGAAATCCTAGTGAACATTCAAGTAGTGTGTTCACTCCAAAGTGAAGCATCGATGGTCAGAAGTAGATAACAGACAAGTCGCAGTAGCAAGAGCTAATGCCTGAATAGCACGAAGCTAGAAATGTCCTCATAACGACGGAGAGTTTTCAACTTTGGTGTAGTGTGAGCACCTGCAGTCTCTCGGGAGAGCAACTCGTGGCAGCCAGCGGCTATCGCGGACACTTTTGAATCGTACCGACACATCCATATCCACGTCCCAACGACGAACACGAAGCTATCGATGGGGCAGGGAACTTGAAAGCAGCGTCAAGTTCTTGTTTTCCGACTTTTCGAGGGCGGGGTATTTCAGGGGCAACCGAGTGATGTCAGATAGACCACCACGAGAGATAATTTATGGCATCACATGTAGCCAGCGAGCAGGCTTCGCTATAGCCCACAGTTCAGGAACACGTGCAACAAGTGTCTCTGAATCTAGAAATCCTGGATGCCTGTTTCACCCTGGAGATCTGGGCGAGCGTTGTCCCCCCGAGTGCTGTCAACCACCCATTCAGGCTCCTCGTCCTCGAAGTACTGATCTTGCTCATCTGTGTGATCATCGTAGTCATCGTTTTGATCAACGGTCTTGTAATCAAAATCAGAGTCCTTGCCCTGCATGAAACGCAATCCCATTTCCCACCGCCAGAGCCGTTCGCCTTCCTCCTTATTTGGTGGTATTTCATCACGGTCCTCGGCGAGTATTTCCCCATCTGGGCCGCGAGTGTAGCTCATCATCGCATTGGGGTCTGGGTGTGAGATCGCATCTATCTTGGCTTCAGACCGCAGGAGGTCGGTCTCCAGGACACCTGAGAACCCCTTCGCTCGCCCCTCGGCCTCTCTTTCTTGCGTTGTCTGGAATCGGCGGATGAGGCGATCGTATAGTAACGGGTCTGTGGAGAAGTCGAGCAGGATTAGCATCGTGTATTTTTTTTTTTTTTTGCTACTGTATGCAAAGTCAGCTAGCACTAGCGATAAGCCAGGCTAGAAGATGATGTGTAAAATAATCAACTGGCAATGGGAGAGAAGAGAGCAGGCGGACCGGCTAGCTCAAGCCCCG